GTGTGAACCCGCGGGCCGGCTGGCACTACAGCGTCAGAGCTGCAAAGGCACAAGCAGCACCCGCCGCCGTGTCTCGTGTTCCCACGTGCTGCAGCCTTCACCGAGCGGGTGCAGAAAGGGAGCTGAACCCCAGCTGCACAGAGGGCCCAGGCACAGGGAACGAGCCCATCCCACATTCACACCCCAAACTCTGCCCCCTGCTCAGGGTACGGCCTTTTTGGTCCTTGCTTGGGGGTGATGTTCAGACTGAGAAGCAGCACCCGCCGCCGTGTCTCGTGTTCCCACGTGCTGCAGCCTTCACCGAGCGGGTGCAGAAAGGGAGCTGAACCCCAGCTGCACAGAGGGCCCAGGCACAGGGAACGAGCCCATCCCACATTCACACCCCAAACTCTGCCCCCTGCTCAGGGTACGGCCTTTTTGGTCCTTGCTTGGGGGTGATGTTCAGACTGAGGAAAGCAGGCACTAAGCACAGTGCCATTTCCTCCCCGGTCCTCTATCTGCCTCCTGTTCCAGGGAGCATGGGGCAGAAAGCTTTCCAGGGCTGGGGTAGTCCTCGACTGTCCCCTGCGTGTGAAGGGAGGATATTAGATACAACTATGGTTAGAGGCAGCTGAAGCCATCCAGTACCTGGCTCCAGGGTCAGCTAAACGTATTTCCTTCAGGGACAGGCTGCAGCGGTGTGGGCAAGGCTGTACTGAAACCCTCTACTCATATTAACCTCCAAAGGAGGCTGCTCCAGTGGGGGAGGCCCTAGAGAAATTCAAGCACAGACCTGGAAATCACCTTAATTATCCCCGTAGAACTCTAGCATCAGTGTGCAGTTACAGCTGAAATAAAACCAGCAAGTGAAATCTGAAGTAAGAGATATTTCAGCAAAACCTGCAATCCAGTATGATAAGCCCATGCTCTCTTACAGCAAAACCACTAAACATCATGCAACAGAGAAACCATTCCAATGAGGAAGATCATCTTTGTTTCCAATCCAAGATAGATACATTCCCACATATGCACTCCAATCAACTTCCCCATTGCTATCCATGATGCTGTTTATGAGGAAATCAGCACAATGAGCTGTAGAAAACAGAAGGCACTGGATAGTGAACCAGTGCAGCGTAGGCTACAACACAGCCTTGCGCTCTTTTCTGGGCAGTAAACGAGGGAAGAGAGGTGATAACATTACTATTTATGCAGGCTGCCAAAATATAAAACCCAGTAGGAACTCATACCAAAAATAAATAAAGCTATGAGTCTGTCTTGTGTTGAGAAGAAACCATACAAAACATCTCAGCATCCACTCGAAAAAGGAGTAAAATACAGTATAATGCGTGCAGAAATATACAGAAAGCACTTGCACAGGTATAAAAATATCCACAGTCCTCAGACAACAATGTAAACTGGTATATAAAACCATTCCAAAAACAGGAACAGGTTTACAAAAGGACACGTTAATATGAAACAATAAAACCAACCCACCCTCCCCCAGCCTCCTGCACAGCGCTGACATGCACGTAGCTCATGCCAGAGCCACGCGCACCAGGGATGAGCACTGCCTGGACTCGCCATTTGACCTTTTAAGTCAACAGTGTCTGCTGCGAATCACAGCCAGCATTGCAGAAGTCCAGCTGCATGGCAGCTGAAGGGCAGAGAGGCAATCCAGCAAGAGGAAAACAAAACAAATGAAACACCCACGCTCACAGACTTCAGGGCTTTTACCTTCCCAACAAGCAATTGAACTTCTGCTCCTTTAGGCAGCTCAAGGAGCAGGAATGATAGTGCTTATCCTGCCCCTGTGCTTATGTGTTTAGTGGCCCTGGCAATCAGTGGACAGCAGTATACACAGAATGCCAGGGAAAAGGAGGGAGATGCAGCACGCAGACTCATGCCAGTGCTCTAACGCTCCAGAGGTGTTTGCTGGTTGTTCAAGAGATGAGAATCCATCTGCCTGCAGGGAAAGGGGCTTATCAAGGAAGGGAGTTAAAAGCACCCCAGAGAAGTAGGGGGGCACCCCAGCTGCCTCCCCAACATGAAACCTCTCAGCAGATAAGCAAGCACCAGGTTATCAGAGTTCCCACAGCAACAAAGCAAACCCACAATGGGCCTCAACAAGTAAGCACAGGTTTGGAAGGCGGGTGGAAGGAGCAGAGGTAAGAATCAGTAGCCTGAATTTGGACAGGGGAGCTTTGCCAAGCAGATGATCTTTGCTTTAGACGGTGCACGAAGGCTTCAGAAGTCCATCTGTCGGTCTGAACCATCCACAATGTTCACCCTGCTCCTGTAGCACATGCAAGGCCAGGACTGGTGTCAGTCAGACGTTCTGCTTGCAGAATCTAGCAGCATCTTCTGCCTCATGAAGACAAAGCTTGACATTTTTGCCATCAGTGCAGATTTGTGTAATACTATGTACAAAAGAACAATGTTGAAATGCTCAGATCACTGACCGCTGTGCAGACGTGGCTGGAACAGAGAGGCAGGGGAAGGGAGAAATGTATCATTAAGGCCTTCACGGCTTAGTTGACAGGACAAACCAAGGTGTTTCCTTCCCACACACCAGTCAATTTGGTCTCATAACATGTCTGCATTTAGCCATGGAAAGTTAGATGCCAGGTGTCCATGCACACAACAGCAAGTGTTACCCGTTGCTTGCAGAGCAATCTCCTCTTTTGGCAGCTTGAATTGCACTCCTGGGACACACACTTTTTGGTCATTCTTTGAGCTCATCAGCCACTTACAGTTCCCCACAGTGAAAGGGCCTAACGGTTAATTCTCCCCATGGTCTTCTTCTACCCAGGCCACAATTTTCCCTTCCCAACCAGGAATGATGTCATCATCATGGAATACCTGTTAAAAGGGAAAAAAAAAAAAACTCATTTGCTTACAGAGCGTTGCAGTGCAACAGATTTCGCAGGGGCCCTGCAGAGCTACAAGCGTAGTTCAGCTTCTTTCCCAGTATCCCTGAGCAATGCTGTGCCAGAGATTGCCCTTACAAATGGAAAACTCTTTGCAAACCACAGTCAGCTGCAATCACAATCATGTCATTGGCCTGGCAGGGAATGAAAACATCCCATTTTAGCACCTTACAAGAGGAGCTTGATCTCCAGTTGTGAAATACAGCACTGTTATGAGGCAAGTTCAAAGATTTCATTCATTCAGAAGTAGGTAAGACCAATGTCTCCAGGGCAAAGTGGTAGCAGTGCACGTCATGCTGGCTGATAGCTAAATTCCATACCTACCTCCTCCTTAACTGTGCCAAACTCTGGATCCAGAGCTTTGAAGTGGTACCGGTGGGTTCCTTCACGATCAATGGCTGCCTTAAAATCCTTCAGCGTCACTTCCCCTAACCTGCAAGGGAAGGGTTTTGCACTATTGCATGGTATACTGTCAAAGTTTGAGCTCAGGAATTGTGCAGGGCCCCCCCACCTCCTGTACCCTTCTCCCTTTTGCACTGACAGCCAGAAGTATTTTTGCAGGGGGACCCTGCGCTACATGAGGCAAAGTCAGGCCTCACCTCTTTGGTATGTTGACCATAAAAGGTGTGAGGGAACGGTCAGTAAAGTACAACACTTTGGTGCAGGCACTGGTGCTCATTGCGGGCGTGCTGTGTGAGTGAGGCAGTTCTGCAAAGAGAAGAGCAAAGACAACCGTCACCGGTGAACTTGGCCTGTCTGCTATCACAGTGCAACAGGTATGCTCTCAGCATCAAACTCAACAACACAGTAGAGAACCAGGAGGTCGGAAGACTCTCTTAAAAGGCAGGCCATGTTCTTGGGAAGGGTTAGGAATTACCATGCTTACTGGGAAGCTTTACGTTTTAGAGTAGAACTACCACTTGACTGGGCATTTAGCTTGTAGGATTGCTGTCTCACCCACAAAGGTGCATATCCCAGAGGTGCTTTGCAGACCAACTTGGTAGTGATAGCAGAACGTTTCTGGAAGAGCAGCTGGCTGAAAAATGCCCCATCCTGCTGGCTGGCCTCACAATGGCATTATCACTCACACATGGGGGGAGCAGGATGAACTGGCTGCTCATGGGTATTAAGGCAAAGGCATGTCTCCTTCCCATCTGCCCACTCTGTTTGGCCAGAGTGAGGGTTTGCACAGGCATTTCCCATTTGTGCTTTTCTCCCTCTGGCTGCTGCCTCGCTTTCTCTGTCCCTACAATGCACTGTGCCTGTCCCAAAAGCTGAAGCAGGGAAAGTTTCACACTAAGTGATTTGGTGGGGATTTGGCCCTCCTAGTGGAAAGAAAGCAGGAAAGATGACAAATCACAAAGGCTTTCTGGTCGAAGAAGTCTTTGGAGGCACCTAGTCCCAGGTAATTCCAGGTTGATGGCTGCAAGACTCTGTATGAATCCTCTGCTGCAGGGAAGGGGATGGAGCCTGCCAAGATGTGAGCAGAAACAGAGTGTTGCAATCTGCATGCAGAACATACATGACATAGAGGTTGCTGCCAGAACTGCTGACTACAGGACAGGAGGGAGAACCCTGCAAAGCCTCAGATCCTTCCTCTGGTTCCCAAGCTCCTCTCCAGTATTTCTGCAACTATTTATGCAACTAAAAGGTGTCTCCATCTTTCTCTCATGCTGTACCTCCACTGCAATGCAACTAAAAGGTGTCTCCATCTTTCCCCAGTACCTACAGGGTCCCCCTCCTGCCAGGCATTTCCCCTTCAACCTCACAGATTTTCTAGGTGACATTTACAGCTGACAACAGAAAAGCAGCTTTCATGATGAGAAGCTGCTGCAGCCAGGAAATATGGTGTCAGAAAAAAAAACTGTGCTGCTGGGAATAGACAGAAAGAGCTAAATGAAGGGGGAGCAGGGGAGGAGGCAGTTGTACCCTTATCTGTATCCACTAGATGGTGCAAGCCAGCAGGATACCTGAAATAACATCACATTTCTCACTAATCCCAAGGGTAATTATTTGTTATAGTTATTTATTCTGCAGCACTACCCAGGGGGCTCAGACAGGCTCCCGCCGAGACGGTGCTGTACTAACGAGCAGCTAGAGATGGTCCTTGCCCCCATTCTTTTGCAGTGAAGTCTCGTCTGTGCAGCAAATTATTGAAGGGAAGGAAGTGAGCTCAAGTAAATGAAGTGGAGCGAGAGGCTGGGGATGGCAGATACCCAAGGAGCTGCTGTGTCCTGGACTCTGGCCAGGAAATTTCAGCAATGAAGCTGGCAATGGCAGCAAAGGAGCTGAAAAGCACTTACTGGAGTTGGGAGGCCAGGAATCTCTGTACTCATTTGCTGCTCTATTTGCCGGTGACTTCGCTCGAATCTAAGGGCAAAACCAAAAAGAGTGAGAACCAAGGGTCACTTTGCATGTTGGAGCTCCCCTTGTAGCTCAGCTCGCAGCTGTGCATGAGGGGTGTAAGTAAAATGCCAAGCACACTCAGAAGCCTTTACCCTTCTCTCTTGCCTCTTCTGTGTCTCCATACGGTGCAGCCGTTCCATCAGGCTGGAGATGCCCTGCTCCAGGCTGTCAATGGTGTGGTGCTGTGGGTCATGCCCACTAAAACTGTTCCTTAAGCTGCGAAGTGCATCACGGACCAGCTGCAAGTCATTTGTCTGCCCAAGAGACCACAAGCAAATCAGACTAGGTCCAGGCTGTCTTCTTCCCATCTAAGCTCTAGGCCTTACAAAGGCCAAATCTCCCTTATAAGCAGCAGCTTCAGGAAGATGAGTGCTACCTGGAACCCCTGGCTGGGAAAACATCTCTTAGGTGCACTTACCCCTCGGTGGGCTGTGGGAGCAGCTCCTTTTCCTGCCGTCTGGAGCAAGCCATTGCTCTGAGCACTGTGACTGCTGTAGCCCATCGCCTATTCGGGGGGAGATATGCATGCCACAAGGAGCACAATAGGAAGACTTCCTTGCAGAAGATTTCAATTTGCCAGCCTCAAGGCGAAGAGCACTTTCCAATATCAGTGATAAAACTGGCGCTTTCTACCAAGTAAATACACTCATAAAAGAGTATGTAGGCAGGCCCAGGGCACAGACATGACTCCCTATATATGGGGCAGAAATAGGGGCAGAGGAAGGGGTTTGCCACTGGGTGACAGCAGGTACTGTAAGCCCTAGTGAGTAGAGTCAGTGTGCAAGCAGCACTGTTTAAGGACAGATGCTGAGGCTGGCATCTGGCCAGGCAAATACAGGCTGTCAGCTTATGGGTCAACAGGAAGAGGCGATAAGAAGCCTTGATCAAATCATCAGCCTGTGTCAGAGCTTGAACAAAAACCCAAGAGTACCTGGCTTCCATTCACTCCTGCAACTCCTTTCACTGTTTCATCCCTCATGATTTTAGAGACTAAGCCAGGGAGTTCATCGCTGAGAACTTTGGTACATCAGACACTTCGTGGAGCCTAACCGATTTGTTTAGAGCACAAGGTGACTGCATAGAGCCTAGCCACTCTGGGATGAAGGGAATGACTCACGGAGATAGGTAGTGAGAGAGTGCTGGACAGAAACGTTGCTCCAGCAGCGTAATATGTGGATGAAAGCATCACATACCTCCTCAGCTTCTCTCTTCATACACTGGGCCAGCAGGGCTTCCTTATGCTCCAGCTCCCGCTCCAAATCCACCTGTGAAGGGACCAGAAAATTCAGCACAAACAGAATACCAGCTCTCAGGGAACCAGGGTAGCCCACCTGCTCCATACCTGCTGGTAGCTGGCTTCTGAAAGCTGCCTAAGCATTTCATCCAGTTTGGTCTGATGCTGCTGTAAATGGCGATCCTTCTGGCCCAGTTCCTTCTGCAACAAAGGAATCAAGGAAACTACAGCAAGGCAGTAAGGCTCACAAGCACATTCCTCAGGGCAAGTAAAGGTCTTTACTGACCCCGTTAGAACCAGGTTCCCCCACAACTTGACTTACACAAGAGTCTCCAAGCTTTTTTTTTTTTTTTTCCTCAGACAAAACAAAACACACATCAAAAAACTTACAAAAAATAAACACACACACACACATCACCACATCACAGAGTCAGATTCCTATATCCTGTAGCCTCTGGTCAAGCACTGTGGCCAGGCAAGTGATTGACCCAAAGAAAACAGATTCCTGGGGTAATTCAACGACAAAGGCTGACTTTCTGCAAGAGTGCTAGGCACTTAGCAGGACATCAGAGGAAAAGTGTCACAGCAAAAGATCCACTATGAAGCTACTGAGGCAGAACACAAGGACCATCTGATCCCTCCATCTCACTACAAACATTCGTGGCTATTGTGACTTAATTCACTGCCTATCTTACTTTTCCCAGCAGCGAGGGAGTGCCACCCAACAGGCATCAGCCCCATTCATTAAGACAGAAAGGAAGAACTAGATGCTGCCCCACCAAAGCCCTCAAAGAAAAGCAGAGCTTTTTTACCTTGTATTCTGCCAGTAGCCGGTTTCTCTCTTCAACCTTCCTCTGAAGGTCAATCTGCAGAAACAACACCAGTGTGAAGTAGGTATCCCTCAAGATACAATGCAAACCTCAGCTCCTGTGCTAAAGGGTGACCACACAACAAGTATTTGCAGGGAAGCAGGGTTCGGGGGAGCTGTTGTCTAAGGATGGCAGCCTGTTGCTTAGAGCGATTGCTTCCTGGCCTTGCCTTCTCCTGTTGTGTGCCACCTGCTAATGCAGGATGCGCAGTAAGAAAGGAGCAATGCAACTGTACTGTAAACATCAAGGAAAGCCCCTCCCTTTTTCAGAAGTCCTTAGAGGATGGGAAGTGGGAATGATTAGAGGAAGCTCCAGCATCTCAGCTGTTTAGTGGACTCTGTGTACTGTTTACTGTGCAGAGACCTTTGACTTGTGGTTCGTTATCCCACGACCTCAGGAACTATTGCAAACAACCACTAACTCCATCTTGTGGCTGCTGGAACCCTCAGGGCTCCTGTCCTCTTTCAAAAAAAATCCTGCAGCCGGCAGTACAGCGACTTACATTCCGGTTGTGCAACTCCTCCTTGTCCATGTTTGCTCTGAGCAATTCCTGCTTTAGCTGAAGAACCGAAGCATCCTGTTGAGCTAGCCTTTGCTGCAAAGCGTCCTGGAAAATGATACATTGTCTGAAGGAAGGTGCAAGATGGAAGCAAACACCCTTCCTTGGGAAGCCACTGATTGAGACCCATGGCAGTTACCCAGTGGGGCCACCCAGAGACATGCAGACCTTTGCCCAGGACTCTGTCTTGCTTCTTGCTCTTTCCTGCTCATGAATCCTCTGCCAATATTTTAGCCACCTGTGACAGATTTCTGAGCGTCTGCGTCAACTTCCCACTCCAGCCCAGGCCATTTGCCTTTATGGAAGAAAAGCTGTGTGTTTGGAGGGACTTTTCAGTGGCCTGCAGTTAGCACCTCCAGCCATGTATCTGCACCACCCACACAACAGAAAGCAGCCAACGTCAGCCAAAGACACGAGGAACCTTAAGCCCTCAGCCTGACCTAACTGTGCAGTGAAACCCTCTTGGCAAACACCCCTCTCGGGGCTACCTCTGCACCTTTCACTTTGTGCTACCCTACCCAGAAGCTGCGAGCTCCACCTTGGGCAGCTGCTGCTGCTCACTTCCTTCCCATGCCAGCCAGATGGGCAGTTCTAAAAATACCTCTCTTCAGGAGCAGATTGAACTGCTTGTTCCAGGAGGAAATACTGAGCAAAGAGGAGACAAAATGGCAAAAAAATGTTGCGACTAAAGAGGACAAGCATACCCCAATGCTCTTCTGCCTAGGCCAGCAAGACTAACAAGTTCACCAGGCTAGTCCTGCTGTGCTTACCCAAGAAGGGCAAAAATGAAGGCAAACAAACCAAGGCATCCTGTGCCACATATCTGCTTTTTGCTGTATCTTGTTGAAACAGGAGGAGACAGCTGAAACAAGAGGTGATAGCTGACCACAGTCCTACACACAGGAGCAGAAGCAGCTCCTTTGCCTCCCTGAAGAGCAGCCTATTCCCAGTGCCAGAATCAGAGTACAAGATCCCCCACCTCTCACTCCCCTCATCCATCTGCCTCCTTTCCCCGTGATCCTCAGAGATGCCTTGTTACTGCTGGCCCCACTCTTTGGCTGTGGCGGACTCCAGTTAAATGTTTGATGAAATGGTTTTTGCTTACTTTTATTCCCTGGAGGTTTCGAGCTTCTTGTTTGTACTTCAGTAGCTCCTTCTGCAAATCCAAAACATTTTGATTAAATGCCATATCAAGGAAGCAGGTAGCTCCACACTACTGGAGGGATGCAGCTGCCATGCAGTGGGAGGCAGGAACACAGCTGGACCACCCTACACATTACACCCAGAATATACTCACAGCAAAACTAAATGAAGCAGGGACATAGCTTCCAAAGATCCCGTGCCCCCAGAACATCTCTTTTCCACTTCACCTATCCCCCTCTAACCTTTAGGTCTTGGTTTTCCTCCATGCTCTGGTCCAGACGACTTCGAATTATGATCTAAATATAAAATGCCGTAATTATTGCCTGCATAAGGCACAGGCCCATAGCAGAACACAACACACAGAGCTGCTGGATCAGAGAGATCTAGGTACAAGACTGTGCTCACCAGCTGCTCTTCAGGGCAGGCTCCATGTTCACAAAGTACAAAGGAACCTTCCTGCTCATCCTCAGGCAAAGACCCATTTAGCAGTAGAGCCTAGAAAGATAAAGGTGAAAAAAAATAGATATCTTCAGAGACTTTCAGGAAGCAAAGTTCATCTTAGGCTTCAGTTCAATGATACAAAGTCTTTGCTACAATAACAGACTTGACACTGAAAGCAGAGTCTGAACAAGGGTTGCATCATGAAGCTCCTCTTCCAGAACGAAGACTGAAGCCTTCCAGGGGCTCAGTAAATGAGCAACGGAAGAGGAAAATCCAGAAGCTTGTAGCCCAAACCACAAGGTCCTATTATCAGACTGCACTAGAAATCAGAACTAGGGTAGACTGGCTCAGACAAAAAGCCGCAGGAATGAAGACACTTGAGTTCTTAATACTTATCACTACGATCAGTAGGCTCAGCTACTCCAATTTCTGTGTAGGTCTTAATTCCCACCAATATCAGTAGGGGTTTAAGAGCCTTTAAAGATCCACACATTGGCTGCTGCCCTTCTCCCGCAACTTCCCCTTTCCTGAAAAAACCCATTCTCCTAATCACAGATCTAAATCACAGGATATTCAGGGAAGCATAATTCTGTCCTACTTCAGGCAAAACAGGCACCTCCAGGACTGCTGCCTACGTAAGGGAAGAACCCCCACATGCCTGCAGGAAGATGCCTTAATTTCCACATTAGACTGAGCCCAGCCTGAAGGAGGGAAGAACCTGCACCTTACCTGCAGTAAGGGCAACTGGCAGGAGGCAACCAGATCTCCAGGAGGCTGAATGGTTAGGAGATGCCATGCTGGTTCTCCCTACATGAGAGGCAGACCTTTTTGCCTCCAACTTCCAGAACTCTTGGTATTTGCTATGATGTCACATACATGTGCACAAGTCAGTTATTTAGACTATCATCATGTTCCTTGTTTTCAGATAGTTTTTATTTCTACTTGAACTCTATGGCTATAAGCAAAATACCCTGTGTACAGTTCAGCCCCACAAGATGTCAAGGCTGGAAGGCCAAGTTCTTTGGTGGAAAATTCTGTCGGCAGGCAGAGCCCTAACTGCTGTCAAATAGCAAACTGTCAGCAATCTGTATTCAGCTAATGCAAAGGCTCTCTGAGCACATCCCAAATTCAGCCCAGCAGGACACTCAAGGAAGAATCACACAAAAACATAAAAAGCTGCCAATGCCACAGCTTCTTAAGGAACATACTGGTCCCCGATATTTCAAAGCAATCTTCATGAACTGGAGGCTTTGAAATATCAAGCAAGATAGGAAAAATCAATTAATCAAATCCAATTTCTTGGCAAGCAAGATCAGCTGCCTCTTCCTACTCCCAGAGGATGAGGGGGGGCAGCAATGCCAGCTGCTTGCCCTCGTTCCTGAAACATGGGGCTGGGGGGAGTGAGACGGGCCAGTCTTTCCTCCAGTGCTGCCTCTCCTGGCTCCCCTTGGGCACATAATGCAACCAGATTTCACCAGTGCACCAAGCACCTATTTTCTTCTGCAGTCTTTTGTGTCTCCCGTGCATTGTCCACACGGAGAGCACCCTCCCAGCTGCCTGTGCTTCTCACACAATCTCTGCTTTGTTTACTGGCACATAAATATTTACAATTCAAAGCCAGTATGGTTCCCAGCACAAACAGAAAGGAATATGCCTGAGAGAGTTCAGGGTCTTTACCATATGGATCAGGGGCTCTACTTCCCATGTGGAGTCACACAAACACACGGGGCGGAGGGTCATTTGGTCACAGAGGGACTGGAACAGGGCAGCGAATAAAAGGTCCCACAGATAAATAAATCATGCAGGGAATGTGCCAAGTCTTATGGTTCAGACCAGCTCACTCAAAGACTGGTGCAAGTCTGTGTGACCCCCTGATCAGCTCTGTGAATCTCTATTGATTTCCCGACATTCCTTGTCTCTCTGCATTACTTGCAAACACAAATCCCAGAAAGGCTGCTCCATTCTCCCAGGCTGCTAAAAAACACCTGTGAGCTGCCGAACAGGCTGAAGAATGAAAGTGCCAGCACACAGGAAAACATTGCTCTATATTTTCCACTTTGCACAGTAACATACATGCTCTGCACAGCGACAGCACATTCAGGAGTTAGCATGGCATTGCAGAATGGTTCACTCAGTCAGTGAACCTAACTAGGAGCGGGACTCCAAACAAAAGATAACAGGGAAATAATCAGTTTCTAAGTACACACTTTGTTCTGGAGTCTCCAAAGGGGAATCATTACGTACCTGCATTCAGCATATCCTTTGCCATCTTACAACCCCCTAAATTACTATTACTGGATATCACTGATCTTCAGTCTTCACAGCAATCTTTTCTTCTTCCTTCCCATCCTTCCCTCCATCCCCACAGAATAAAAGCCCCAGAAATCATGTCAACATTCAGTTTCAGAGAATCCTTAATTATATATAAAATAAAAAGAAAAAAAGATCTTGTCTGGACTGCATGGAATGGTGTTAGAATCTTTTCTGGTAAACATATTGGGGATGGAGAGTTCCATAAGAATATAGAAAAGAAAGGCTGGCTGAAAAGAAGTCACTTACCTGCAAGCCCGAAATCATCTTCTTTGCTTCCTCCATTTCCTTTTCCAAATGGTCTTGCTGTTCCAAAAGCTGTTCCTCCCATGAATTCTCCAGATATGACCCAGGGCTTCCTGCCTTCCACTCTGGCTGAAATTGAGATTCTGTCTCTTCTGCATGAGAGAAGAGGCGAGTATGGTCATGAGAGAACTGAGGAGCCCAGCAGACACTCGCACCGCACACAGCAATTGCCTGCAATTACCATGTAAAAGCTTTTCCTGCACAGACACAGAGTGAGCCAGTTTGCTATACCTGCCTGACACAGCTATCCACATACCTCATTAACCAAAGAGAAGACTGACTATTGCAGGAGGTGGTACTTTTACAGACATGCAGCTAAAAGACCTCCCTGCATGGGCAGCAAGGGGGCACGGGAAGAGTTACAGCCAGCCAGCTACTTTAGCTACTGACATACTCAGTCAAATACTTTGGAAGGAGCACTGCAGAAAGGCTCTACCAGCTGAGACACCACAATATTTCCTAGGAGAGCTTCTGGCATTCACTTTTGCGATGGAAGCTAACCAGAAGTACGTATTACTAGGCTGCCCTGGTGAGAGAAGTCCCAGCAGACACTTATTTGAAAACACTTCTGTCATTCTGCCTGAACATCTAAAGGGTAAACTGATCACATCACGGGGCATTTGCAGCAATACAGCGTTGACTTCTCAATGCAAACACCACAACAATACTGCAACACTTCCATTCCTCACAAAGAGCCACTCAACCCATGCACAGATGCATTGTAACAAACCGCTGTTTACACGGGCTAAGTTCTGCCTTGTATGCGTTACAAGATCACGTGGATTCAGTCTTTTTTTAAAGGAACTTTGAATATTTCTTCAAAAGACCCTAATGTAAAATGAAAGCATTCTCCCTACAGTGTAAATAATATATGACAGTCTTTCTCCAGGGCTTTTCTAAACATTATTTTTTCAGCCTCCCAGACTTCACCATATTACGGTATAACTGTAGTCTTATGTCTTGGGATTTACATTTTGTGTGGACAGATACCCAGCACCCAATATTTTATGTTCGTTCCAGGTCCTTGTAGAGCTTGCCAGCAAGTCTGTGTTATAACAAAATCACAAGGAAAGCGAGAGCTGTAAAGCATTATCTGCAAGATACCTCTTTTAGCCTCTGCTTCTTCAGCGTGGATGATAAATTCCACTTTCTCCTCCGAGTGGGTTACAGTGGATTCACTCTTTGTGCTATGGATAGGACTGGGTGATGTGAGGCTGCAGAGGAAAGAAGAAACAGTTATTTCTAGTGGCGACCGCAAGGGGCTGATTTGTGGAATGATTAATCTTTTCATCTTCTTTGAGACTGTGAATTCGAGACCACTACCACAGACTTAACATACACTCTCAGACAAGGATAAACCCATTGTCTCCTGCAGCTCTTCTCAGAAACTCTTTTTACTGTCAGTCTTAGATGCGTACTGCAAACTGAACCAAAAGCCAACCCAACTTTCTTCCAATGTTACCTCTGTGTTTCAAAAGCATGACTGCAATCTAGGGGAATTGACTTAAAACTCCAGGGGAAAACACTTTTAAAGAAGGCAAATACCACTGACTCATGCCCTTATATTAAAATTTCTCAGTCCAGTGCAGCCATCTCAGCTAACTGTGAGGTCCAAACTCTCAATCTTTTCTTCAGGGATTCTTCCTAAATGCATCACCCGGACAACATCACAGGTGTCTGAAGCTCACTGACCCATTTAATGGGCCTCCAAAGTCTCAGGAACTAATCCTTGCAAGTGTGAGCTGGAGTTAATTTTTCATTCTCCTCAAGACAGAAACAAAAGCCAGAGAAAAGAAAAAGTAGAAATAATAGAATAGGTTTAGAAACATAAAAGGTTTCTGCAGCTCACCCTCCCCATATTGACAGCACTGCTGTTACATATTCTACAACAAACCGACTCAGGAAAGCCTTGCAGCAGAGATGGAAATGACTTGCTAGCAGCTTCTGTCTGGTCCACTCCCACAGCCAGTGCTGGCCCAATTCTCATTTATATTCCAGAGCTTTCAGCAGTATAGCTTAAGTGATCCAAACTTAATGGACTTCCACCACAGGAAAGATTAATGCAGGTCACTAACTGAAAGAATAACCATCTTCTAATAGGGATCTGACAGCTACAGTACCTGTTCTTACCCTGCTGCTCAGAGGGGTGTGTTTGTTAAAGCAGTCCAAGCCACCTGGCTTTGCTCAAAGATTTACCTTCAGGAAGGCTAATCCCATCACAGCACCTCCCAATTAGGGGCATTCTGTATTCTGTACTTGCAACCAGTAGCACATGGACGTACAGCACAAATTAAAAATTTATATTAAAAAAATCAAGGTTTTTTTTCAGCAGCCCAGTAAGTACTATTAGGTTTATGCCATCCAAAGATTAAGGATGACACTTTCCAAAAGCACCAGCACAGAGAACCAGCTCACCTGATCGAACACTCAATTAATGCTGAGGGCCATTTGCCTTCTTTTAGGGAAGAGATTTTGATGTGCCCCCAGCACATCCCTAACCGAGACTGAACCTCAGACATCACAGTGCCAAATGGCACTGCGAAGTGCAGTGGAGGCTCTCACCCAGCCAAGAGGTAAATAGACGAGAGCTCTCCAGGAAAAACAACATTAGCAATTGCTGGGTGAAAAGCTTACCTAGGATTTAAGGGTGAAACTGAGGCATGGGCAAGAGGAGGGAGCTGGAAACGGTACTGTGGAGAGAGCGAGCATCCTAGGCAGGAACAAGTCATAGGAAATGAGGGGTTACCACCTGAAAGTAGCACCTCCCTCTCCCCAAGTCAGATCTTTTCAGAATTGGATCCACAGACCAAAGCAAATCCACAACAAGTCTCAACTGCAGGAGGCAGTGCAGTCACTAGAGCTTTGGTATCCCACAGCACATGAAAATAAGTTTCACTCCTGTGTCCAGAGCTAACTTTCCAGGCAGCTTCCCTATTTCAAGAAGCCAGGAGGTTCACATGGCAATAGTGACCACCTCTCAAACCATACCAAACAGGAAAACAGCCCCTAAGATGCACTGATGAAGCAGTGGTACAGGCCAAAGGTGGCCCTATTTATCATTCTGCCAAAAACATTTCAGTCTTTTTTTTTTTTTTTTTTAAAAAAAAAAAAAAAAAAAAGCTTTCCTCTTTAAAGTGCATAATAATTCACAATTAAAGCATGCAGTGGGAATAACGGGCTGGAAATAAAGGGCTGGGAAATTAAAGCATTTTAACTACGATTTTTGATGCAGACAGTGGTCCTGCTTTATTTTCTTTACCACTGCTTGGTGTCTTAGCTAATATCCTTGCTCTGTTGAGTCCCCGCGCTGCCAGTGGTGCACGCAGTCAAAGCTATAGGGAGACAGCGATCAGTCTGAAAGCTCTCATAATTTTAGTAAACACTCCACCCCTGCTGCTTCAAACAGACAATGGCAACAATCGCTCACCATTTGACCTGCTTCCCTCCCATGATCCCACTTTAACCTCTCGCCTCACGGAGCCTGCTTCCTGGGGAGCCTCCGGATTCGGGCTACAAGCATGCCTTGTCCCTTCACGCGCTCCAAAATCAGTGCAGAAGGCGCCAGCTCGCGTCAATCTACTGGAGAAACGTTTGCGATCTTGATTGCTTCACATGAGCTGAAAGATTCACCGCAGAAAATGTGCAGGGTCCTTGCGAGAAACCATCTGATGGCAGATCAGCAGCCCTCACACACGGATTTGACTCCCGAGTCAGGGAATTCAGCAGCCTGGGTTTGGGTTTTGCTGGTTTTCCGCTCGGCTTCTTCGTCTCTTGCTGCTGCATTTTGGTCAGCTGCACGCCCTTGCTGTTTGCATCACACAGACTGTGGTCTGCATGACGAGTTGCATTTCTCATCCCATTCTGCCCAGTCCCGATTCCCAGCACCTACTGCAGATGCCGATGCACAGCCGAGGGAAGGTGCTCCTGAAAGCAGTGGGTTCCTCGCTCTTCCTGCCTCAGCTGTGGTCTCAAAACACGGCATGCAGCACTTCCCAGCCGGCACGCAGCTTCCTCGCTAGCTCTAGCTCCCTCTCTCCCGCTGTCACACAGGCTGTGCAAGGCAGAGCCTTTTCTCCGAGATGCCTGGCTCGCTGTGGGGGTGGGAAGACTGGTGGAAAGGGGAGGGGAAAGGGAGGACGGATGGGTGATGGGCTCAGTGGCCTGGGAATCAGTTTGATTTTGCCAAGTTTTCCACAAATCATTTCTACTGCCTTTGCTTACGAGAGCTTTTCCTCCTGGGAATTGATAGCAACGCTGCAAGCTCTTACCAGCGGGTTAACGCAGAACTGGCCTGAATTAGAGGGGTGCTCTGGGAGAGGCTCGGCAGCAGCACAGTTACATAGAGGCTGCCATTCCTAACCACATTTCTCTTGCTAATACAAAAAGAATGGCTTTTTCTTCTTCTTCTTCTTTTCTCCTCTCTCATCAACCAGTTGTCATAACTTAGCTACTTTATTTCTCTCTTTGGAGGGCAAGAGAAACAAGCACCTTGTTTTCACTGTGAAGCCTCGTGTCAGTAGAAGATCTCACCAGGAGCCAGAGGCTCACACTGCTCCATTTCCTTGGGTACATCGCCAAGTGATCCATTCCACCAGAGGTAAAAGCAAGCACAGTCCTTGGAAGCTTGGAAAATAGCCAGCATGAGGCAGATTTGTTGGGGAAAGGATGCGGGAAATTTCTCATAGAATGAATCTTTTGACTATGCAAGGGGGAAGAGACCTCTAAACAAAGTCCATTGGAAGTCAGGGCAACTGCTTGGAGACAGAGTTTGAAACAAGGCTGGTGGGGAACGGGAAGATGAATTTATGAAATTTCTGAAAACAACACAGGTGCCCTCTGCATTTTGCATGGGCAGAAAAAAAGACACTAAGAATAAAGGACTGGGCCACAACAAGCAGTACCTATATGCAGTGGCCTTATGTGCCAGGACCTCATTTATCTGGAGGTATATCATGAGTTAGCTTTGATATCCCCCAAACATCCACAGGTATCTATGCATTCCCTGCATCCAGACACAAAGCCTTTTCATCCGTCAGCTCAAATCAAAGCATACAGAGCATGGCTACTGTTGAGTCCAATTTCCGAGACACCAGGCACTGACTGGTGCCGTACCACAGGGCAGCTACTCCTGATTTCATGATAAAACCTCATATGAATAGATCTTTCCCCACTTGGCAGCTCCTCCTGCAATTAAACAGCCAACCTCTGTGTTGGTAATTGCTGCGCCTCTGGTTAATGGCATCAGATGCCTTTTTACCACGAGAGCCTCAATCTGCTCTCTCCTTGCTCACACAAAACAAGTTCTATATCTGGCAGTGCTGGAGGCTACAAGAAAAAGCAGTCTTCTGCCTGGCACTCCAAGATCTGTTCCCCAGCTGGAGCCTTGGAAAAAAATATATCCAGCCCTCAAAGCTTCGCTCTTGCCCTTTGATAACACGGACTGAATCCAGAACCTTAAACATCACTTTCTGCCTGCCTCTTGGGCCTTGCTGTTTACAAACACAATGCAATTTTTGACTCTTACCTCTGTTTTTCAGGGAACAAGTCTGCACACTCAATAGGGAAAATTCCTTTCTCAAGAAATTATGACTGAAATCTAGTTACACATCACAGCGTATTCCCAGTTTTAATTTAGAAAGTGTTCTGGCTCCATCTTGATGCAATCTCTGATCATTTCCTGGTGAGCTGTCAGCTCCTCTCCCAGCACCTCCACGACACGGGATGAGCAGAGCACAGGGACGGAACCCACACACACACTCTGCAGCTACAAGGGCCTCGCGGTCCCTCCGGCTCCTGATCCGTGTGCACAGGGAACAAAGTGCAGAGGAAGCACTTCCTACTACTACTGGCACTAGCCAATGTGAAGAGTATTTCTCTCGAAGGTATAGTTGTTTGCATATTTCTTTTCACTGACTCTAGCATCCTCTGCTTTTGCAGAATGAGATCCCCCTAAAGCTTTGCCAAATCCACCACTCTGCTATTCCAGCCCTAGGCCTCTATCCACCCACATCTACTGACATGTGGAATTTCCACAGTAGTTGCCATGCTCCAATGTGATTTGTTTACTCTTGAAAACAAGACAGTTTTAAAAGTTCCAGAAGGAGATTTAAAGGGAAAGGATTCTCACTGAAAGGCTAGATAATTTACCATATACTAACAAAACTCATGGAATTGTAAAGACAAACAGAAAGACCAAAAAAAAATCAATTTACCATATGCATACACGGAAATATTCACTCACTAATGAAACCAGTCAAACAGCAACTGTCTGATGATGCCTGATACAATTGGAGAGTATCCATAAAAATCTTACAGCCATTTCAAACTGAAGAATGAGCAGAGGGAGGCAACAAATTTCACTCATTGTCCTGCTAGGATCACAGTTAAAAAGTCTACACTGAAGTCCTGTGAAATTAGTCACGAAATCCTATTGCCAGGGGCAGAATTTTTTTATCTCCCTTGGAAATGACTGCTTCAAAAATATACTCTCTGCTGACATCATGTGGACACAGTGGTCTGATAAGTGGCTCCAAGGGAGTTTCCACACCTTACAATGTTTATAAAGCAGGTCTCAGGCTGGACAAGGGGACGACACAGCAGAGCTGGGGCTTACCCTGGGGCCAAGAGAATCAAGGTAGCTGCAGTGATGCCCATGCAGCTCTGCCCTCTTAGTCTGTTCCCAAGGAGCTCAAACAGAGAAAAGCATCATGCCCTAAGGGAGATCTGATATGTTCAGACAGGCGGTCCTTCATTTTCAAGCTAGTTTCTTAAAAAGGGAAAGACATGGTTCCTGTGATGTTACTCTGCAGATCAGCCAGGAGACTGTAGTTTGGGAAGCCTCTTTTCTGTCAAAAAGGGCCAGACTCCAGCGATAAGGAAGGGCACGCTGAAGGGAATACAGTGTACAGACTCTGCCATGCACAGGACCATGAGGGGACACATCTTGGCAACAAGTTTCTTACCCGGAGGAACGGGACTCTGAGGGTAGATTCTGCTGCCCTTCATACTGCTGTACCAATGCCCGGACACTCCAATAGGGATTTCCAATCTCCTCATCCATGCTGCTGTTTCTAGAAGTAAAAATCAGAGAATGAAGGAAGTCTTACCTGGGAGGGGGCAGAAATTACCCTGGTCTCCAAGGAGGATGGCAGGAGAGCTGAAGAAAGGACCGTAAGGAGGAGGAGGCAGCTAGAAAGCTGCTATTAAAAAAATAAATCTAGTATCAGGGAGCTTCATTCTGTATTCTTGATGTCAGGAAACAGAAACAGACAGGATCTTACCTTTTAAGCCCATCCCCATTCTGTGACTAGAAAAAAGCAGGAGTTCTAGGAAGGCAAGAAAAAGAAGAATATACACAAATAAAAACAATGACTGGTTTTCCTGAAGAACTCCTGGCCTAAAGTCTTTGCAAGAAAAACCTTTAACATTTATTTTTTTCAATAAAACATATCTTTTCAGCTTCATTTCCAAATTGCTTCATGGGTACTCCCTTGAGCCAGTATAATATGGGCAAATGACCTTTAACTGTGTAAATGAAACCCTTGATATGCAGCCATCTGGCTGCCATTTAAATGTCATTACTATTATTATTACAATCCACATTGCACCTTTTGCAAGTGTTATTTTTTTATTTTTATTTTATTTATAGTTACACATTCCTCCTATAAATGGATCATTTCCCTTCGTTATCACCAGAACTCCTCTGCTTACAGCTGATTACCAGCACACAGCAACATTCTGTATCCGTTTTTGCCAGGAAATGTAACAGTGCAATGAACAGCAACATAAAAAATAGAAGGGACTTGGACAACAGAAGCAAAACTGTAAGTCTGGAAAAAAAAAGAAAAAAAAAAACACGCTCCTAGGTCTGCAATCCTGGACCCATAGTTAAGACCTTAGTTTTCTCTTACGCTTGAAATGATAGCCTGCAGCACTAAGACCAATTGTATGCAGTGCACGAAGGAGAAAAGGAAGCAGCCTTAAACACAAAGAAGCAAGGTAACAGGAATCCAGCAGCTATTTCACTGTTACACCTGAAAAGAAGCTAAAATATCTGTTGTTTTCATCATGAGGCAGCCAGGCTAGATCAGTACTCCCTTTTGTCAGGCCACCATTGGTTTTACTTAGTTTGTCTCCATTCATTTGTGCAATGGGAGATCCCTTGCCTAAGAAAGCATTAGGATAAAGAGACCTAATTCTGGGGTTTGGTTTTTAAGGCCCAACATTTTTAATGCCCAACATTTTGCTAGCACAGCTTGACTTCAGGTAATCAGGAAGCAGCCCTTACCTCTGCCAGTGCCGAAAAACATCCCGGCCCAGTTGTGAGACATCTTGACGAACATCTGCCAGAGCAGCCGCCGCTCCCTGGGCCACCGCGGCAGCTGAACGAGGCCTGTGACTGGCAGACGATGCCAGTGCCGACGTGCTCTTCCCCCCAGTGCCAGCTGGTGAGCCATGATTCACCGCTCTCCCCGAGCCTGGTTTGAAATGAGCTGCTAGGGCCAGAATCAGCCTCATGATAGACTTCAAGTTCCCATCCACAATATCTGCAAAATACAATTAATGCCAAAAATAGGGCCATTAATATGAAGTAATAAGAAGCAACATTTGACCAACAAGTGTAAGTGCAATGAAACCCAAGGGATCATGCCAGGTTAAAAAAAAAAAAAAGAAAGAAAGAAAGAAGTCCTGTGCAGCTAGGAGCTAGGACTACATTACATTACAGCATGGACGCTTGGTTTTGCTTCTTCTGTACAAAGCAGCACGCTGACCGCCACCTACAGATCACAAGTTTAAGTGCTTTCAACAGGCCTGAGCCTTCTCGCTGTGGGCATTTCAGCCAACAATCCAGAGGGTAACATGACAGCATACTGTAATTACTAAAGGTTCTCTTGAAGAGTACAGCAGTCGGTGAAAACTACTACCCTAGTCGCAGCAACTGCTCCAGTTGGTAAATGGAAAATGCAAAGTATTTGCCTTGACATGCAAATACTGAACTTCTCACGCTGATGCCTAAAAATCATGTGCTCTTCTGTCAGAGCCAAGAAGGGTCAGGTGCTGTGCACAGTCAGTCTCAGCACCTCTACCCTGCCCCTCATCTGCAGGGCCACAGCCAACGGGAACAGTCCCCCTTCCAATACAGTCAGCAAACCACAAGGATGAGGACCTGGCTTTTGCCACACAAATATTTTTCCCCAGTCCTTGTGATATGTGACTAAATCATGCCTTAGCCATATGATTTTGTGTACTGGGATTCCTTCCCCTTGCATGCACTGTTCTTTTCTGCACAGGAAATACAGCAGAGGTTGTATGGCACACAAAGCATGATCATAGGTTTCCAGGATTCCAGATTTTTTTTTCCCAAGGCTCATTTTACAATAACTTCTATAGCTTTCCCATGAGACAGTGTAAGTCTATATTACACTGCTTTGCACCACTACCTGATCCTCTGTCCATTTAATAGCAGCAGCAGAGGCACTCCTGTTTCTCTTCATTGATTTTTGCTACCAAAAGCAGATGAGAATATGGTGCCATTCAACCCAAAAGCTATTCCCAGCCCACAGAGAGGGGAAAAAAACAAAGTAAACAAACAAACAAAAAACCCCACTCAAAAACCCCACTACAAACCAAGCAGTACACTATCAGTTTAATATGAAACAAAAGCAGAACTAGGCCTTCAACAAATAGAAAGAGCTGAGGCAACCTCCAGAGCACGTACCTTTGGCTGATGTCTGATGCATGCGGATCTTCTTTGATGCCACAAACTGCAAGACCTTCTCCACATTTTCCCTCATTTCCTGCTAACTGGTGGGATTGACCTGAACTCCATTCAGCTTCTCGCCAGCTACAAAAATGAACACCTTAATTACAGAGAGCTCACTCTTCTGAGAATGTCTCGCATCAACACCTGCTGCATGCCTCCCAGCCCTGCCTTTAGCACTGGGGATGCTGGACTGGCTCACAGTGATATACACACAGAGGCAGCTGAAGTCTCCCACCACAGTGAGAACCTAGCAACATTCCTCCATCAATAAAATCCTTCCATGGCTGCACCACAGCCTCATGGGAATTAACACGGTCTCTGACAGGCTTCAGCACCTGTGTCGCATGATACATTCAAGAGCACATATGTGCTCAGGAAGGGGCCCAATTTGGCCAGCGCCCAACGTTACAAAGGACGATCTGCCAAGACATTTGTACTCCAGCAGAATTGCCTGTACGATTTGTGATTTTGCTTCCCTTTAGGACGGCCCACTCTCTCCAGCTTTGATGCTGTCCCTAATGCCCACAGGTCAGCCTCAGCAGTCTGAGCCAAGGCCAGCCTCTTGCACAGAGCATCCAAAACTCTCAGAAGAAAGACAGTGCCATGCGGCATTACTGACCTACAATCTCAATAAGCGATGAAAGGATAACTCCATCTCGGAGATCTTTTCTCAGGTCTTGGACCGGCTTGATTGTTGGCTTCTTCTTCAGCTGGGAATTCACCCAGGCCACATATGCCTGTAGCTGTTGCTTGAAATAAATAAATCAATAAGTGCAAACTGTTAGCAAATCAGCGCTTTTTTTAGGGGGGAAGCTGAACAGCTCTCAGTTTTCTCCACAGATTTCACTGTCTTCTGCCTTTGAAAACAAACACAAATGGGTCTCGTCCCAAAGCCTGCCGAGCACTGACTGATATCATCGCACACTGCGGTGCCGCTAGCCCATGCCAGGATGGGAAGAGCAAGCTAGGCAGCAGGGCAGAACTCATGCTAAGCACAACCAAGGAGAGAACTTGCTTTACATAATATCTAACACATGCAGGTGCCAAAACAACGCTGTCAGCCCCTCATTGTTGGCGGCAAAATTAATTTGCTCGCAGTAGCTAACCCCTTTCAGCCCCACTCCCTATTATTTCCTTCCAGATACCTGAAAAGTAAAAAAGGCACAGTGCAGAGGCAGAAAAACTTGTCCAAGAGGCACATGAAACTGTGCCAATTACCAAAAGAAACCATCAGAGCAGACTTCCTAGAAGGGACCACAGCCCCCCTCCTCCATACCACTGCAGGTACGGCTCCTCGGTTTCCCTGGAGCTGCAGCAGCATTTCTAACAGACCGGTTTTGTTTCTCTCCTGAGCCTGAACACATGGAGGCTGGCTCCTCACAGCAGTTAGAGCCGCAACACCCGAGAGCAAAGGGCAGCGAGTGCATCCTGTGTGCTGCTTCGCCCAGCAGGGCACATTCACACGAGGAAAGAGCAGGGAGGCCCCAGCTCCTGGTCCACGCGAGGACCCCTCTGCCGCCACTGACTGGAAGGCGCACAGTCACTTCACGTGGCCTTCTCCTTTCTGTCTCCCTCCCACTAGCACTTCCGTGGCTAGTGGGAGCCCTGCTGAAACCAAAATGTCTTTGGGCAAGGTTTGTGGGGCATGTGGAGTGTAAACAGATTGATCCATTTATGGAATTACCTCTCTTTCACTAAGCTTCCTGTTATTCCACCAGTGCAGCAGGTTTTAAGTCTCCATTTCATATTACCTCAGCCATGTCAGTCAGAGTTTATGCTTTTATTGCTCACGACTAAAATCACATTCTGATCACAGCCTCACTTTAATTATCCTGACACGGGAAATCCAACTTGAACCAGCCCATGGCTCAGTCTGCTGGTTCAGGAAGGTGCCCAGACACTTGTGTTCAATCAGTTCTGCGCACTCAGCAGAGAGCTGTCGAGCAGAACAGAGGGCTCGAGCCTGGGGGAGCACCCCCTTGTTTTTAGGAGGAGGAAGCAGAAGCGGCGCACGCTTGCTGGAGCAGACACAGCCCTTTACATGGTCTGTGCCATCTTCTTCGGCTGCGACGGCAACAATACGCATCAGTTTGGGTTGTCCAATTTCAGCTTATTCCTGCATATCCGCCGTTGTATTAACAAGCATTGCCATGACTTCTATCCTTCTTGGTCAAAATGATGACCATGCACTGATTTTCAGATCAACAGTGATGACTGTTCTTGCCAGCCTCCAAGAAGCATCCCAGCCTCTAGCAAGTACACTTCAACCAAGCCTGTGGGCACTGAGATCCAGTCCCGCCGCACAACCTAATTCCAGAGCCAGACACACCACAGGCCTTCTATTACACAGGCATTCGGTTAAGCTTTAATTTATTCAAATAATTATCAGTGGAAGAGAAGTAGGTTTGTTTACAGAGCCATCTGTTACTGAGTAATACAGCTTCAGCACCATTACGGAAATATCTGGATACAATAAAGGCTTTCTGAATAGGGTTGCATGAAAACTGCATCTGAAGTCTATGTAATTTAAGAAAATAATCTCCTTTTCAGAGATTGTGTTTACTGCTTTGTACTCATTTTAAAAATCATTTTACAAAATGCTAAATGAGACTGCTATATTGTACTAATTCTGTAAAGGGCAGAACCCCTTCCAGCCTGCAGAAGCCTGCAATTCTATGAGGGTCTATGGAGTTCTTCCATTCAGAAACTTTTTTTTTCCTCCCCTCAAAGGAAAAAAAAATATGCAAAAGTAAAGCCTTTCACTAAACAGTTGATTCCGTTTCTTCTCTCAGCATTCTTTGTGCACTTACAAAAACATATTTTTGGCACACTATTAATCTCTACTATCTCTTCAAATCATGAGAAGATTGAAAATCTTATTAGAAAAAAGAAGCCACATTTCTAAATCCCAATACATTTACACTTTAAATAATCCTGGTTAAAAGGAGGATTTTGAGACAACGGCATATGTATGCCACCATTACAAAAAGGAAAATTTCACAGTGTAGCTGCTGCAGTACTGCCGACTGACTTAATTAGCAGACTTAGTATTACTTTTTCCACTAAAGCATAAGATTTTTTTCCTGTAGCTGTTCAGACATTTGGTTTGTTCATCATTTCCGATTTTGTATCCAAAAAAAAAAAAACACTTGAGAAGGTAATGACTTTACCAAGAGACTTAGATTCCTGCAAAACTAAAACTCACGGAGCAAACAATCACTTCTGGCAGCTGACATGAGTAGGTAACTGAACTTACCAAGAAAATAGCAGATAGAAAAAAGGCAAAAGACCTGAAAAAGTAAAATGTGATGTTAAACGTATAGAGGGACAAAGCCCCCAAGATGCTAAGCAGAAATCCTAATCTATCCCTTTAGGTCTGGAAGACAGGAGTCCGTAGCACCCCAGACCTGCTCAGGTAGCTTGGCAGCTGCTCAAATCCTTTGCCATCCTCCTGTTGAGCCTTTGCCCTTCAGTAGAAGCGGACAGTCCTGCACAACCTATTACACCAGCTCTTGCCGTGTTCTAGCTCCACTAATTTCAGCCTGCGACCCAACTTCCAGACTGCCCAGGCTTTACCAGATCCCTGCAGCTTCCCCTTGCCGGTTTGTAATCCGGTCTGGCTCACAACTACATCTAAGAGCACTCGGACAGAGAACATCTATTTTTCTATCTAGCTCACCCCTTTCCTTTACCCAAATAATTCATCCTTCCATCACCAGTTACTTGGCAGCTTTCTGCTACTCCTCTGCACTTTGCTCCAAGCTTCAGTGCAGCCACATTCTGGACTTAACAGGGCAGACCCCAGGCCCAGTTCTGCACCTCCTGCACTCATATTGCCTTTTTTTTTTTAATGGAATGTTCAAAAGAAAAAATATATGAGCCTAGTCTAATATTTACTAGACAGAGCACAGATTATTAGGATTGTGATGGAGTTACGTTTAATCCTATTTATATTAACACAGCTTTGTGTTCCAAAAACAGGCCAGGTTTACCTGCATGCTGCAACTAGGAAAGTAACTCCCCCATGTCAAGAAACTTGGAGCCCAGATTGCTTTAACTCCTATGCAAATCATTGCAATATTCTTATATCCGAGGCTCTTCAAAAACGCTACAAGACTTGTAGGGGTTAGAAAGACTATAAAGCTAGATACTAAGGCCACCTGCAAGGGTAAAGCATTTGACAACCTACAGGTACTTCTGCTAACATATTACAGGCTACCATGGCAGTGCTCCTTAACGAGCAGAGCATTTGTAAGGGCAAGGCTCCACTTTACTGATGATCACACGTAAGCTCCCCAAATGCCTTAGGCTCAGCAGTCGCAGGATGATAGCTACACGTATCAGGGACACATGTATTCATGCTTTTCCCTGGTCCCAGACTGTCTTCAGGAAGAACTCAACCTCCTAGAGGCAGCACCTTTTCTCAGCAGCTGCTAGCCCTTACTGATCTTCATAAGGAAGTGTCATTATCAACTATTTTCCACAGATGGAGAAAAGCAGTAGCTCTATTGCAGATCTCCTGTTAGCCCTAGCTGTCCTTTCTGTTCTCTTTCAGCTAGCATAACTCACCACCTGCTGCTTAGGGCTCATATTTCTCTCCTCTCTGCCATCGATCTGCCCCGTCTGCCGGATGGTTAATTTTCATCTCCTCTGAGATTAGGGAACTGCACATTTTGAAGAGGGCCATCAACTCCATTTTTGGACAAAACTGTTTCTTAACAGGGTGATTCCCGCAGTCGGCCTAACCTCCTTGTCCCGTGTTACAGGAGATTCTCATGACACTCTGTGCTTCTAAGAATTTTTTTTTTTTTCAGTATTCGTTTGATGAACCTGAATCTTTCCTGACTATTGGATTTAGAGACTCCATTTGGAAGAGTAACAGTGTTCACAATCTTAACTCTGCTTTTCCTTTATATACCCTTTAGATGCTGCTCACAGACCAAGTCTAAGAGGGTCAATAGTAACAGCCCTCGTGCTATGAGGTCGGTCCCAGTGTGCAAGGCATTTGGTGTCCTGTGTATTCAGAGCACAGAAGCAAATGTCTGCAGAAACAAAGCTCAAAGGGTGGTCTAATTGCATCAGGATGTAATGTTTAAGACCTTGCACGACTTCTAAGCTCTCCGACATCTTAATTAGATGATCTCTGTAATCTGCTATCCAGTGCTCCTCCAGTTTGCAGTCTTATGTTTTTGTTTGATGAGGCTTTTGCAGAAGCAGAAAATAAAATGCACAAGCAAAGAGAATGATGTTTCTCTTCTGCAGATTTTTTTCCTGAAAATCACAACTTAAATTCAAGGTTTTTAAAGGCAGGGAGATAGGCTCAGATGTGTCCAACACTGACACACAGCCACTTATGAGCCGGGTGATGCCAGATGACAACACATACGGAGAAGGCTCCTCTTTCACATAACCCTTACTTTAAAGCAGAGCATGCAATTTTTTGAAAATAAATTTTGGCTCACCTCGAGCAGAGAAGATACCTCAGTACAGCAGTGCTGTTTGGAAAACGAGGCATCTACACAGTTTCATGCACACCAGAAGACAGAAATATTGTGTGAGCTGAAAAAAGAGAAAACTTCTAACTCAAAACCTCCTTAACTCCTATCCCCTGTCTCAACGCAGGCACGGACATTTAGAAGACTGGGATCAGCAGAACACTGTCCTCGTTCCCAGAGGGGGAAGAGCAGGGATTTTTGTTCAAAGGCCGGCAGTTTAGCAGGGCTGAAATGAGAGCTGCCTTTGGCATCTTGGCTAACCGCTTGTTACTGGGAGGGGAATAAACGACTGGTCTGTGGTTCCTGTTTGGTCTCTGACAGGAGCAGCTTGCTGGCAGGCTCTCAGATGCCAGCTCAAGTGCTGGAGGTCAGTGAAGGATGAAGTTTAGAGCTGAAGGTGCATTTTAAAGCACTCAGCTATCTTTCAGGATATATGGTTATTGACTTAAATGTTTCCCAAACGTCTCTCACTCTCCTCTACCCACAACCAGCAACGGCTGCAGTGTTACAGGGCAAGATTCACCTCCAGCACCAGTGAGAATATTCAACCCCCCTAAATTCCTACTGCCACTTTTTATTCTTTTCATGTCGCAGAGACACGTTTTGAACAGCTGTCATGCTGCATTCCAGAGACATTTGACTTTCAGTAAAGGATGGAGTAATTCTTAGGTGTGCCTACAAATGCTGCTGTATTTCCCATTTAGTAGGACATTTTAGACTATATTCTGAAAGAGTTTAATAGATGCAAATACAAGATCTCTTTACGTAGCTCATGAAGTCAGCATGGCCACTCGCATCTGAAAGACAGTTTTGCTTTGCAGTTTGCTACCATCTAATAATAACTAACCTTGAGTCTCCTCTCAGGAAACTAAACCTAGGTGAGCAGATGGCAGGAAATGTATGACTCTAAGAGCTTTTTATCTCCATATAACCAGAGTTATTTTATTGGTGCAGAATGAAAGCCCAGTAATTCCAGTTTTCGTCTTCACGTAAGCTACCTTTTCCTTCTGCTGATACTTTGCCAAGGCATATCCTTGCTGCCACACTACGATCTCACCTGTGCCACCCATCTTCCAGATGGGAGGAGTTTTGTGAGTGGTAATTGAGCAAGCTTTCTTCAAATAGTAATTTTGCCTGTTGTCTTTCTAACACCACAAGCAAGCGATTTCCTTGGGATTAATCTATTTTCCGACCATACTTCTTTTAACTTCCATCTGTTTGTAAAGGTCCAGGGATTACTCACTATACCTTCTACACGCACAGTGACAGTCCAATGCACTCTTCCATTCACAAGTGTGAAAGTGGTATCTTAGGGACCATTTCTGGCACTTTTGCAGTATGTTTCAGTACCAGAGCTCCCCAGTCTGAGGGAAGAAACGATTTTGAGCTTTGAGGCTCTTCTCTCTTTGAAGAGACAGTGTTTCCACCCAAGCAGACATGCAAAAAGCTGAACCATAGATGTCTGACTGTAAATTGCCAGTACTTTGGAGCAGTTCATTTGCCCTGATCGTCAGATGGTCAACTACACCCAAATAAAGTTTCAGGTCTGTCAAAACAAACTGCACCGCAGCGTCATCATCTGCTGCTGCTTCAGGAAAGAAAAGGAGCACTGTTCCTTATTTAGGAGCATGCAGTCACTAGCCCAGCACAGAGAGAGGAGAGAAGCTTTGCGAAGAAGCGAGGCACACAGTTCAACGGAGCAGTGTCTTTTGCAGGCAAGGACCTCCAATGTAAAGAGAAGGGGAAAGGACATCCAGTGAGGTTACCTGGTAAGGATGCGCAAGTAACCATAAGTAAAATGCTAAGAGAAACATACCAAAGTAAAGGTGATGCAGAATGAGCTTCGGCCACTCTAAATGCAAAATAGTAGCACCTTTACAGAGCTTCAAATAGTGAAAAGCAGGCTCTGAGGAGTCGCTATATGACAGGGACTGTTGCAGGGATGTGCTAGCCCCAGTGGCCTGACCTGGATGAAGAGACTGCAGTCAAAACAGTTCTCTTCATAGTGAATCCTATTAGCTATAAATAGCACTCATTGCAAGGGGAGAGTGAGTGCAGGCTTCTCTTACTAAGATCCCAGTAGCACAGACATTTTCGTCACAGATCACACAATAGATCATGGAAGGCAGGACAGCTGCAAGTACAAGACATAGCAATGCCAGAAATATACTGCCAGAAAATTGCTTCAACCAGAAAAGCAAACTGAAACCAAACACAGGCCATTTCTCACAGCAAGGATTCAAAACTCGCAGGCAGGATGCTTTCTAATCACCTCGAGTGAACTGACAGATACGGCAAACCTCCAATAGCGAAAACAAGCAGAGAGACACTGCGTGTGGGAAAGAAATTCCTGTCTCAGCTGCCACTCACTCGGCTGCGACCTCCCCATTCGGGGGAAATTACTGAACACTGCGCTCAGCCAGGCCGTGAGTGAGTGGCAGCCCACGAGGGTGAGAGCAGGGAGTCCTACCTGCAGCACAGCCCTTCCTCCGTGTGCGCATCTCCCTGCAAGCACCGATGTTGCACTGCACTTTGCTGCAGCTGCAGACCCTCATTCAAAAGCAACTCTGCTTGAGCTCTCGAAAATTCCCCGCCATTTCCATCTGCAGGGAGCACCCAATCCAAATCCCAGGCTTGTTGTTCAACGTAATCTTGGAGGGAGCAAGCTGCCATTTCAAATGACGCACTGTGTGTGAGCCGCTACATATTGAGTCTACCAGAGGAAATGAGCCTCCTACTTGAAAAGAGAAGGCGGAGAGGGAGCTAATTGTTAAACAGAGCCACATTAATGGCTTGGAGCTGTCAGGGCCATTTCTGACACCTTTTTTTTTTTTGGGGGGGGGGTGGTGAGACCCATCTATCTTAAACAACTGACAGAAGTCTAAGCATGCCTTAAATAAACTGCATTTCCTCAAAGAGAGTGACCTGAGGCCATGTGGACAGAGCCACCACAGCAGAGACCCTGCACTCTAGTTTTCCATATGTTATAAGCTGCCATTTACAGCAGCCACACATTCCCATGGCACCATCCAGCTGTGGGACTGAATTATTTAGCTGCCTCAGAGCAGCCAACATAAGCCTCTCTAAGCAGCAGGGAGGCACCTTCAAGGCAGAATATTCCATTAATGAAAGAGGGACAGGAGCACCATGATGCCCCCAGGGGAGTTCACTCCATTGCAACATTAAACAAAAGTTACCCTACTTTAGATGTCTGCAGATGACACACACTGCAACCTATTTTGGCCCAGGGACTCTGAAAAGAAAAGGAAATACATAGCCTTGAACTTGCAATTTACAGGGCTGCTTTAGCAATCTGTGATTACGTTAATCATGGAGAACGCACCCATCTAACAGGTTATCTGTGCAGCAGAACTGAATGAGCTACAGATGGGACAAGGATGCTCCAGAGCTAATGAGGCTGCCCGGGTGGCCTTCAGCCAGCAGGACGAGCAGAAAGGGAGGATGGAGAGAAACAAAAGAAACTTGTCTGTGGCCCCTTGCTGTGCTGGGTAACATTCCAGGCATGGATTATAGGCCAAAGGTGCAAAACAAAGATGCAAAAGCAGCATCCCTAAAGAAACAGAACTGTATCTAGCTTCGAGGCCCTGAGGACGTCCCAGGTTGTGCCTGTTCTCAGCACATATACCTAGCTGCTTACTTAACTGTGTACACTGACCTGTTTGTGTACACACACAGATCTGGAAAGTACGGCCTTATATTCCAAGGTAGCCAGTCACAGAAAGAGCCACCTGGCCACAACAGATGCTACACCAAAAGCATATAACAGTCATTGAGTCAGCAAGGCAATTCTTGCAATTTGCTGCTTCTGTAAAACTGTGCCAAACTCTCTATCTTGAATCTGTTTTTACACTCAAATATTACGCTTAGTAGCCGCTCACTTCTAGTCGTTTAACTTTGGAGTTGTGTGTTGAGATCAGACACCTTACGACACACTGTCACATCTGAGGACTTAATATAATGGTTACTATTAACTTTCGCCAGGGAAGAAATTGCCGCCTCTGAGAACAGGAAGTGTAACCCTCTGCAACTTGAACTCAAGTGATACCTTTGCTAGCTAAAATTGAGACTGAGGCTGTCTGTGGAGAAGGGCATGGAGTATTTACACAGTTAAACGGAACATTAAGAGGAGACCTGTGGTTGGCATGAAAGTGTAGGCTCCAGTTTCATACCTCTTTTGTTTTGCCTTTGCTGACTGGCGCTGCTACGCTCGGAAGGGGTGTGCGTTTGCTCTAAAGAATAGAGTACTAGGGGCGGCACAGTCAGACGGGTCAGGGCCTTGCATGGATAAGGAATCACTAAACCTAAACAGGATATGCGCTGTAAGAAAGAATAAAATACAGCAAAAGAGCATCCCCGCCTCCAGGTGAGAAAGGAGACAGCAGCCACTTTGCTTCCAGCACAAGCCCCCACAATTTTTCTTCCTTCTCAGCTTACAGGCAGGAAATGGTGTTCCAGCATGGTTTACACGATGAAGTGCCGGGGCTATCCTGGTGTTTCATACCAAGTCCACAGAGAATCCAGCTCAACTGACTTCTTGTGCACCCTGAAGAGGGAAGCAAACAACCTGCCCTGCCCTTGCAGTCTCAGCATTCCCATCTCTGGAAATGAATGGCAGTTCCCATTCCTTATTTTATGATTTACCTGGCTCCCTGACAGCAGAATAAGCAAATAAAGAGCACTTCAAAAATGAAGTTTCCTAACCAAGATGGATTTCAGTCCCCCTACAGAACAGGATGGAAGAATAAACCAGAGAGACTGCTCTGTGTCAGCCCCTCTCAAAAACCATGTGCATCCACACAGCAGATTTACAGCCTTTCCAACAGCTCTCAGGCATAAAGATCTCACATACATAAGAGAGGAGTCAGTACTACAAAATAACCTTTCTCCACAACCTTACTGCAGCTTATAGTATTTCTGATACAAGACCTTAAAAAAAAAAAAAAAACGGAGCTAAAAACATCAGCTGTAAAACAGCTACAAACTCTCCAAAACTACTGCTGTTTTGCAGACCCCTGGCTGAGCTGCTCCGTATGCTTTTCTGTTACCAAGCATCTCTCCCTCCCGGAAATCTTGCTCATTTTTCTCCTTTCCCGCTTCTCAGAGCACTGGCAGACATACCAATTCCTGCGAGAGGCTGCACAAAAGCAGGCTACCTTGCCCTGGAAAAGCCTGCATGAGACTTAGGACATGCATTTACCTCCGTGAAGCCCTCCTGCAGGATATCCAGGACATTCCCTCTGGCCAAACAGGCGAGCATTCTCCAGGAGCCCACCGATGGGCGGGGGTCTCAGCGGAAGCAGGGCAGCTCCTCCAGCTCAGGGCACGACCTCCTTCTCCTCTTGCCAAAGACAAAGAGTTGGAGCTCATCAGGAAGCGCATTCATAGTCCCATGTGTGCAGCCCGTTCCTGCACGCAGGATAGTTGAGCCAAAGTCGGGGCTTGCACTGGGCATGCTCGGGAGGGAGCTGCTGGGGGAGTTGCAAGCTGGATGTCATACGGTTCCTATAGAAATGCTTCAGCTTACAAGATGCAAGCCTGGGACTGAGTTGGGGAAACATCTGAAACCTATTTCCAGCAATCGTTCTCACGCGGAACCTGCTGCGTGCAAGAGATTTTCAAACCCACCAAACACAGCAAGCCCTGGCCGCTGTGGGGGCAGGGAGATGGCAGGAAGGAGAACGCAAAGAGCAGATGTCTTGCTTGGTTAAAAGGGTTCGGAGAAGACTGGCAACATCCTTCACCTTCAACTTTCAGCAAAGGCTCAGCAGCCCCAAAGAGCGAGCCCCGGGTTTTCAGCAAACCCTGGAGAGGCAGGAAACAGCAGCCAGGCTGCAGCATAGCAAGTAACCTTTACGCAGTACCAGGCTTCACTCTAGGTGCTGTGCAAAGAAGTTGAGGAATTAAAAACAAAAGACAGAAAACTTTCCAAATAGATTTAAATACAACTGCAAGCAAAGTTTCTAAATCAGTAATAACTGCATTCATTCCAGAAAACATCTACCAACTACCTCCAGGCAGTCCCTTAGACTTCTCTTCATCTTAGAGGAAATGACAGAAAAAAAAAAAAACATGAAAAACCTCTAAGACCAAAAGCCACCTTTCGCCAGAGGCTCTCACTGCCAATCCAGGGAGCAACAGTATAGGCACTGTCCAGTGACATTCAGGCTTGCCTTCAGATTTCATAATATTTGGTTTTGACCAAGCATTTCCAAGTGAGAAGACACACTTAAAAGCAAATATGTTTTCAGCCAGAGTATTGGAAGGATCTGGAGGAGAAAGCAATAGCAGAATTTTGTCATGCTAATATTTTCTCCACCACATCTGGAAACGTGCAGCTAAAATTGAGAAAGACAAGCAATACATCATTCACTAATTACCAATCCAATTCATTCAAAAGAGAGCTAGCCGCCTCCTGCATAATAAGATATGAGTTTTAAATTATTTACTCATGTTTGTTTTCCTTACATACTTCTAATAATTCAGTGTCAACTAAGATTTTCATATTACCATTGATTGTAGTATCACCGCTATTAAGCAAAATAATAAATATTGTGAGACTTCATATAAAATTCTTGAGAGCTTGCACTGCTGATGGTTAGCACCATGATGCAGGCTGCATGTAACAGTCCAAATGCTTAATTATACTGCAATAAATATTTATCCTCGATAACATCTACACAAGAAACATCAACAATGTAATCAAGTAGATTGTGCCTTTGAAGTTTCAAGCAATTTTCATACATAATCTGAATAAATGGTTTCTCCATCAGCCAGAAAGTGACCTCATTTGAGCTTTTTCTATGGACTTTATAGTGACATTGTTGACTCATATTCTCAAATAAACATCATATTTACTATCTGTTTTTCAATGCTACATAGTAAATACACATTCATAACAGATTTAGGAGATTAAAAGGTGAAAAGGCTAAAGTCCATCCTTCTCTATACCGCTTGAATTTATGGAATAAAGAAAAATAAACTTAAGGTATACTGAAATAAAATCAAATGTACTCTGTCTGCACAGAAAGCTGGCAGATGGCTGTTAGATGTTCCCTGTTTTTCCAATTTATTGTATGAATTTGATAGCAGATTAAATACTGTATGCTCATAATCCTCACAAGCTCCAGATATCCTTTGAAGAGGAGAGAAGCCATTGGCAGGAGCCGTAGATTTTACACAGGAGACATGACACAAATTCACAGGAATTAAAAGATAAATAAAAATAAAAATAAATAATCTGTTCAAACAGTATAGAAATATGAAGTACACACAGGATTTAATTTGTAAATCATGATAAGCTGATACACTGAGAAAAATGGTTCATTTATCATTATCCTCAGTGGCGTTTAGCAGGTGTCTTGTTGCATTAGCAATGAGCAAGAATGAAGCATTTACTACTGGCGCTTGCACTGTATCGTATAAAGACTATAAAGCATTTGGGCAGCAGCAGGGTATAGGAACTGCCATTTAGCCACTGCTTGCTGTGCAACCTGTGTTTGATTATACAAGTTTTATGTGAGGTTTTGACAGGCATCTCTAGTTTGGCAGGGGTGCAGAGCAGTTGTGTTCAGAAGTTAGACACAGCTATTTGATCACTTAAACACAAAACAACTCCAAGCTCACAGTACAAACTCTGAGTGGCACTAGCCCCTTTTTGAGCCTCAGTGAAGAGGCAATCACACAATATGTTACGTATCTGTCAGTCAGAGCATGCTCTTTTATACCTCAGGCCCTCTACCCCTGGTGCTATTTCCTGGCACCAGTGAGAGGATGTAAAGCCAGATGTGTCACCTATAATACAGTAGTTCCATTCTGGAGAAATGCAGAAAGACTATCTCAGGTGAACACACTAGTGAAGCTGTGAAGAAGCTTCTTCGAATTGGAGAGACTATTCAGGTTAGAAGCCCTCCGCTGCCTTCCTTTTTGGAACACTGAGAGAAGCCGGGAGTGAGACATGAACTTCAGGGGCTTCCCTTCAGCCCTGTATCCCTATTGTGGACCTTCCACTTGCTTGAACACCAACACAGCAAAGGGCAAAGGGTTGTCATAAGTGCCAGTCTCAGGTACAGGCCTGCTCACTGTGTGTTTCCCATCAGAGATTCTGTCATCAAAGATTTGCTTCTATATGTGCTTCTTATCTCTGAAAGAAAACTGCCTCATTTTGGCAATACGAATGTCAGAGAATAGAAACTAGGCCACTTCTGTTGGCTAGCATGAGTGGCAGAGCATGCTGGGCTCTCCCTTTGTTTGTAACAGTTGCACAAATGCAGCTGAGAGGGTGTATGTTCTGAAATAGCTTTTTTTTGTTTTCTTTTTTTTTCTATCATAACTCGGCTCTCTCATCTTTGTGTTTCACTCTTTTACTCTTGCAGCAGGAACTGTATTTTTCTTTCAGTCCTATAGCATCATACAAGAGGCTTTTGAATGCTAACTTTGTGAAAAAACAAACAAAAGAGTTTCTATGTAAAAACTAGTGCTTCTCAATATTCCTTTTCAAAAGTGACTTTTAAAACTGCCTGAAGGTGAATCCAAAATTAAAGAGACTTAATTTTTGCAGCAACAAATTGCAGTGATACCTGTGAGTGACCATCAAAACAAACACATAGATGCCAGATTGGTTGGTGGCATTGCCCTCTCCCGGCCAGTTTCAGCATAACCCTTGTACTTTCCCACAGTCCAAGCATAGGCCAGGCATTTTACAAAGCCCTGTCACTTCTCCATTTCATGTTTTCATGGTGTGACTTTCATGGTGTCACAGAAGTACTGTCAGTACAAACACCAATGCTTTCTTTCAAGCCTCCCCTCCATGGATTTTTTTTTTTTAATGACCATTAACCAACTGTTTCTTTCTACAGTCTTGGGAAAGAGACTAGGATCTTGGCTGTACTTCAAATCTCGCTCATAAGAATTTGACAGTAAAGACAAGAGAGTTTGATTCTGAAGCAAAGTATGTGAGGCCACAGCTGCAGGAACAGCACAAAGAATTGCCTACTGCAACTAATGCCTTCATGTCACTGAGCTGCTTTCCCCTGCCAGAATCTAAAACTGGGCAGGCCCAACAAGGACTCCAGAAAACTTACAGAAGATGCAGGAGGCTGTGATGTGCCAAAGTGAACCACATCCACCAGAGTTCCCATGCTGTTGGTTGCCACAGCTTAAGTCAATGCTACGGTGAATATACCAGCACTCGGGCCTTGAAACCTGAGGAGAAGAGGCAAATGTATTGAACACAAGGGGAAGAAACTTTTTAGGGAAAAGAAGCTGGCAGGGTGGGGGTGTGGGGGGGCATACGAAGGCAACTCCTTAATTTAACCAGAACAAAGGAAGAAGGTTGCCACCTTTTTTTCACTGCCTTTAGTGAATATATTTAAGGGCTACTGTCTTAGGACTTAGAGAAAGTTATACATTTCTGTATATCTGTCATCCTCTTTCATATAGGAATTATAGCCAGAATTCCCTTGAAACTTACATAACATCAGGATTCCTGGTCACATCGGCTCTAACTGCATAAAGATGTGTAGAGGAGGAATCCAAATATGCCAGGCAAGAGGAAGTTTGTCTGCAAGAGCCAAGTTGCACTGTTCTCTACTGTCAAATAACAGGCTATTACTTAATTCAGTATTAAAGAACCCAAGTAGTAAAGATCCATAAATAATATTAGGACCCAGTTCCACATACCAACTTATCCATATTTATGAATTTTTAGTAAATTTACATCTGTGTAGTCTTCTTTTAGAGGTCTGGAGAAAAGTCCAGTGACAGGAAAAATGGGGGCATTTACAAGAGCTCACAGAATGCAAAATGCTAAGACACTTCAAGGTAAAAAGAAAAAAAATCTGGAATAATTATTTCTAAAAATCACTTAGAGGTGGGCAGAATATAAGCCTGAGGTGGCTGGTTACAGTTATCCTTAGAGCGTCACCCGGGCCAGGGGAGTGGGCTGCAGATGGCAGGACGCCAAGGGGCTGCGGGGCCAGGATGTCTCTGTGAGTGGGGCAGTACAGAGGGGCGGCGTGTGGGGAAGGGGCGCCTGAATCCTTGGAGAGGGGCAGACCGAGTACTGGGATGTGGGGAAGGGGGCCAGGATCCCAGGAAAGGGACAGCCCAGGCGACTGAGACAGGGAGAAAGGGCTGGAAACCCAGGAGAGGGGTAGCCCATGGGACTGGGACACAGGAAAGGGACTAGGATCCCTCGAAAGGGGCGCCCGGGGGACTGGGACACAGGGAAGGGAGTCGGGGGGGGCTGCTCGGGTCCTACCTGAGGCGGGCGCGGACGGGAGGCCGCAGGCCCGGGCCCGGCGCGTTGCGCCCCTGCCTTATGCCTCACCCACCCCCAGCCCCAGCCTGCATGCCCCCTCCGTGCAAACAGCTGAATTCCCCCAGGCTTCTTCCAAGTGCAGGTGATTCCCAAATAAAAACCCATTCCAGTGCAAGCGTTGTCTTCACATTTTTCCCACAGCAGGCAGGGAGGAACTTCCTTCATACACATTTTTTATTTATTATAAAGAAAAGAAAAGCATAAAGAATGAATTGTAAAAGCCAGCAGGGCAGTGGTCCCGTGGGTACCCGCGCACCCACAGCGATGGCACGAAAAAGTGCAAATATATTAGTTACAACAGAAAATTCAACCTTCGATGTTCAATGAACACTTGCTAGGTTAGCACTGGCTTAACCCACTGATGCTGCAACCCCAGGGAATGTAGGAGGCCACGTTCACAGAATCTCTTAATATTTATTCAGTGCAAAAGTGGGTCCTGTACAGAGGGCCGTTGCTGGGAACAGGCTGAAATTGTCCTTAAAAAGGATTCTGTACCTTCTGTAACACCCTCGTCCTGACTGCTAAATGATAACCCGTGTTCAATATCACATCTAAGAAAGTCAGTGTGATAAATCAGATCACTCCTGTGCTAAGGAAGGCTGGGCTAGACACGAAGCTGGCGTTTCTAGTCTTCGTACCGATGAGTCACAGGAAGAAGGCACCTGGCTACGTCCCCAGGTTCCCCTCTGGTGCCCAGAACAGGACATGCCCTGCCAGTCTGTGCCGTCCAGTGTTGCTGGGCCCAACAGGCAGGAGAACGGGCAGGAGTCTGGAGGTGTGGGAGGCACTTGGGGAAAAGAGCCCTTCCAATACCCTAGTACTGTGTCTAAACACAGGGTCTTACCTTGCAAGCCTCCCTCTGGCCTTGAGATAGCCCCTCTGAGGTGTGATGGGTGGCATGGCGAAACAAGCTTTTAAGGTAGAAAAGTGCTGGGCTTGGTCCTCTGAACAGCTCCCTTCCGCAAACGCTGCCTGGGCCAGCTTTGCTGCTCGTGCTGAGTAGGAACTGCTACAGGCTCTTTACATCCAGCTCACCCGTAATATGGAAAATGATTTATATTTAAAATTATAGCAGGATGCCCATTTTTAAACACTGGCAATAAATGAATCATCCCACATTCTGCATTTAGCTGTTCAGACCGTCAGTGAGGAGCAGAACATGCCAAGCTTTGATTTAGTGTCTGGAGATACCACGGGGGAGCCCTGCTCAGTTGCCAACGCAGCAAATTCAGTTCAGCAGCAGAGGCCTTTCGGAAGTTCCTCTACTAGTGCTAATACTATTTTAAACCCATAAATTGATTCCCAAATGTACCTGTGGGGGAGTTAGCAGGAAAAAAAAACACGTATGAGCATTACGTTCCAGAGCTTTGTAAGTAGGGCTGCTAATACAAAATAATAAGAAAAAAGGTTTCAAAAGCCCTCGCCTGAGTTGGCCGGGATTCATTCCTAGTATTGCAGGCATGCAAACAGCTACTGTACACTATAACTACCTCTAAATATTGGCAATGGCTTTTAAATGTCTGCCTTACAGGTAAATAGTGAGTTTCTATTGTTTCATTTGCAACCAGAGCCAAAAGTCCACTACATGTGCTAGGGGAGGATGCCCATCTGTGCAACCCTTCAGCAAACATACTTGTTCTGCACCCCTCAGCCATTTGAGCATTTCTGGTCTTGGTCCTAGTCCTGTGCATTGTCACAAAACACTATTATTTTGAACAAAGGAAGTGCAGCTAGTGCTTTAGACCTTCAGTGTGCTGTGGCTGTTGTTGGAGGAACACACTGTGGCAAACACTGTTAGAAGTTTTGTGCCATTTCCTTGCAGTATCATCCGCATGTCATTTTCTATAGCATGTTGCAGAATCTTCATAGTATTGACATAAAATCCAGTGGCAACCTATCCCTGATCAAATCCTGTTTGCTATGTTCCCAAGTGTGCCTGCACAGCAGCACTCAGGAAGAGCTCAGCTACAGCAGAAACTTTCTCCTTGCAGCTCTGGGCTGCAGCTTTAGCCTTCCTCAACTGCTGAGAAGTTCTGCCTTCTCTCGGAGCCCAGAGCAGGTGGGTTGCTAGCCTTAGAAGCAACCCACGTTTTCTGAAGAGATGTCTTTTGTCAACCAGATAGGAGTATTCCTCACAAGAGGATAAGTATGTCTGTGTCCTCCAAAGCCAAATGCAGATGGAAGACAGCCTCTCTACACCTTCTCAGGGAAACTTGGTCTATCCATGAGCTTGGCTTGGGTCTACAGCATCTCTAAACCTGTGAAATTCTTTTGCTGCTGAAGGATGAGGGGGCCAGCAAGCCTCTTACACTAGGGTCCCATTCTTGCTGTCATATTTCAGCCTGGGCCTGGGGAAGTTGAGGGTAGCGTACTCTGTGGCATTTTGCATTTGCAAGTTCTTCACCTCCTCTGCAGAGCGCTCCCGGGCCTTGGTGAACACCTGGATGTCTGCATAATGAATGCTGTCGTCCTGTTTGACATTCTTGGGCTTATTCACGGTGGCGTAGACAGGAAACTCCAGGACATCTTCGTACATTGGAGCCTTTAGGGAAAAAGAACTCTAGATGGTCAGGTCCCGCACTTGCTACTGCAGCTGGGTTCCCCTGCTCCCAGGAGAGACAGTCTGCACCCTGCCACCAGCAGCATCCAGCTCCCTGATGGCTCAGGCTCTGCTAGCAGCACTTTACTGCTCCAGCGAGGGGAAGAATGGCCCATATCACCGTGCAGCAATGCACGTTGTTCCCACAACTATCCCAGCCTACACAGGATGGCACACCCAGGCTTAAAATAGGCTGTCCTGTGTCTTCCCAACCCATCTAGACTAGGAAGCAATGGTCAGCCCCGTCCTTGTGTTGCCTCATTAGCAAAACATCTCTAAGAAGCTGTTTACCTTCCTGCCATGCTGGTGCTGTAGGCTCTCCTGTCTCACTGTAGTTCCTGAAAAAGAAACACCAGCAGATCAGGTTAACAAAACCGTTTATTGTCCATCTTTAAATGCAGAAATGCAGTGTCTGGCACATGGGCTCTCCCCACTGGAAACATATCAAATTTATGGCCCATCTGACATCCTCACCCTAATCCTGTCTTTGCGGCTTGCCTCTGAGAAGAAAGCTTGGGCTTGTTTCTTTGGGAAAAAAAAAAAGGTTCCCAAGATGACAACATGCTGTGGACTGCAATGTTCTTGGCAGAACCCAGGAGGATGCACACAGCACAGACAGCTTCCTTGTCAGGCCCTTGGAGAAGTCAGACCCAGTTTTAACTTTGTTATTTCCTTTGCTGTCTGGCAAATATGTTTTGCCAAGCTTGATCCGAAGGCCACAAGGCACAAGTGGGCCACTTAGTGAATGTACTTGGTGGCCAGGGAGATGATGTCAGGGGGTGTTTCTGGCTTTCACTGGAGCATGGCACAGCTTCTGCCTTGCTGACGCCTGAGGGTATTTGTATGCTTTTTGGTGAGCGAATCAGGCATTTTATAGAAAACGTTGAAGTCCTTTCCCTCCCCATTGCCATTCTAACAGAACATCATACCTTTTTCTTCTAAGTTTTAAAGAAACTTTGCTTCTTGTCTCGGCCAAACTTCTCTTGGGGAATATTAGGCACAAAAGAGGTGGGGGGGACCTCTGCCCCCCCAGCTCACACTCAGCACTGTCTGATATCAGCTGTACCAGGGTTTAAGATGCTCCCCCTGGTCTTGTTCCCCAAAACAGCTTTGCAAATCCTTACCTTCCTTTTCCTTCTTTCTTTTAAAAGGTGAAGGACATTTCCTGAAATCAGAGAGAGATGTTAGCCCCAAGCAGCCCTGGCCCCTGGCAGCCCTGGCCTCCACTCTGCTATTGCATAACAAGGTGTCCCCTCAGTGGGTAGCTTACCAGCTGGGATGAGGGAAGAGAATCCAAAGGAAAGATCTGGTGATGTCTCTCCTGTTTCTGCAGCACTTCTACTATACCTGAGAGACACCCCCCAGTCTCCTGCTTTTCAGCCCGATTTGGCTGTCCAGTATGCACATGCATCAGAGTGAATGAGGGCAGACAGCTCTGCAGTTTTGCAGCCACGTTGCCCCATTTCACAGCCGTGCAACCAAAGGTGCAGATGCAGAGACATTTCTCTCAGCAATCTGCTCTGATAGTCCCATACTCTTGGCTTCCTTGACCAAGGCGCAGCTGTGCATAGACCTTGTGCTAATTTATTTTTTCAGGTTGTTTTTCCTCTTTTCAGTTTTCCACTTCAACACCACCAAGCCAAACACAACCAAACCAAACAAGCTGTACACTTTGTGTAAGCCAAGCCAAACTTAACCTCAGTTGTACCTCTGCAACGAGAGAGAGACAGGCCAAATACAGCTATATTCCAGCCATGCTACAAAAGGGAGCAAAAACCAGAGCCCCCGCCGGCTGGTGCTGCCAAGGGGAGTGCAGGCTGCCCGAGCAGAGACGTGTCACATTCTGGGCCAGAGGCATGAAGCAAATGTTATCATTGCGGCATGTTCCGAGGGCCGGAGGAGAGCAGGTGCCAGCCTTGTGTGGCTCCTCCTGTGAATGCATGGAAATCCAGCGCTGGATTTTTTTTGCAGGGCTGGGGTAGGCAGGTGAGCAGGGCAGAGCATGTGCAGTGATGGCTTTGGTGCTTTAAGAGAAAAACTGAATTAAAAAAAAAAAAAAAACATGAATGAGAGCAAGGTACTTGGAGAACTTCAAAGTGGTCAGTAATGATTAACCAGCCTTGCCAGAGGTGGGAGGTGCTGCAGCAGGAAGGCTGTGCTGGCTGCATGGAGGCCGAAACAAGGGCTGCCCCAGCACTAGCCCTTTGCCCAAGGACTGCGCAAGTAGAGGGTCTAACCCTGCTCCTTGTCTCTCTGCCGCGTGCTGCGCTGTGAGGGTCCCATGGGCCATGGAGACTCCCCATGGGGAGTGCCCCAGCTCAGGGCAGCAGGGCTCTGCCTTGGGTTGCTTCTCTCCCACCTCTGCCAGTTCCTGAGGCTCCATACATTGCTGCTTTGTAGCGTTCAGGCAGGTTGTGCAGTGTAATTAAAACAGCTTCACTGTAAATACAGTTAGCAGGTCCCTGGCCTCTTTCCTGGGGTAGTGGTTCCAGTATCAGCTTTACAGGCTGACTTCGCTTGTTTTAGTTGCCCTCCTTTGTAGAGAGTGTGTTAGCTGCCAGGCTGGAGCTATTCTGAGGCTGTCTGCAGGCTAGTCACAGCCAGGCAGGAGGCGGCATCTCCCAGCCTTGGATCTGCAGTAATTAGAGCGGATGTGGCAAGGGAGAGAAGAGCAGGGCAAACCTCTCCCTCCTTCTGCTGGAAACCAGGTCAAACATGTTGCACCAACTCACAGCCTGCTAGAGGCACATTGCATTTTGCGCGACAGCATGCACATCCCTGCTCCCGTATCGCTTCCTCCCCTTTGCAAACATCAATGCCTTCCTGATTTCTGCCCTATGCAAGTCTGCTTTCCAGTGGGTTAGCACTGGTTGGTATCCATGTCCATTGCATAATCCATCTGGGAGTGCTCCCTGGGAGAGAGAAAGCCTTCCTGCTGCAGGGTGGCATGCTGAGATGTACGCAGACTTGGGAGCACATCCCCTCATCAGTAACTTCCCACTGCGAATAAATTTCCCTTCCTTCAAAGCCTTCAGAAACCTTCTAAGTCTCTCACCATCTGCTGCGTGTCCCTCAGGGCCTGCACTTTGGTGGTGATGATGACGAGGCTCTTCCATGTGGGAAGAGGTGAGTCCCTATCTCCCCTCAGCCCTGTTGCAAGTTTCAGCTTTATTTAGAAAGCTCAGCTCTCACTGACGTAGCTGGGGTGCTGCAGAGACAGCAAATATCCAGAAATAAAGCAGTATCGATGCCTGGAGACACCTGAACTGAAACTAAGCACCATGTTTTCCCCCTCTAGCCCCAGGGAAAAGCTATGAATCATCCAAACCTCTGCTGCGGGGCTTCAACACACCACAGTCAGCTCTTAGTCATGATCTTTGTGGGTGCTCTCAAGACCATGTTACCAACAGCACGTTCCTGTTTGCTTCCTCCCTGCTCTGCAGGGAGCAGTGTGTGCAGCGTGCGGAGCTGCAGGCCTTCTTTGCCCATGTGTTTTCTTGTGCAAGGCAGGGAATGATAGTCCTGGGGAGAGGGCTTTGCCTGAGCCCGCAGGGGTGCTGGGAGCACTTGCTCTGCATCTTTGGCCAGAGTTTTGCTCTTGATAGGAGGAATTTGCCACAAGGCAGTGATAGGGTTGCAACACCTGCAGCAGAAATACTGCTCTGACTTCTTACTTTCCATGGAACCTCTGGGGAAAAGATCAAGCGGGACACAGGAGCCCCCGCTCCAGTAGCCTGGGGAGAGCAGCATTTGACACTGCCCTGGGGAGCAGGCAGCAGAGAACCTGCGGCAGTGCGGCTGCCCGAGGGCAGCGGAAAGCCGCGCTCCTGCATGGCCCTGCCCAGGCGAGTCACCTTCAAATTCTGCTTCGTGCTTCCTTCCTTGGCAGAGGTGTTTGTGCACAGTCTGGCACCGCCTTGGCCTGGCAGTGCAACGTGTGCTGCAACGGGCTTGCTTGCACTCAGGAATCCCTGGCTTTGCAAGCCATACCATGCCTGGCGCCTGCAGCTCTTCCTGAAATGGCTCCGAAGAGCAGGGCCAGGATGTGCAGGTTCCTTCAAGGCAACCAGTTCTTGTTCCTGGATCCCGGACTATCCTGCCCTCCGACTGGGGGCTTGGACAGAGGATCCAGGCATCCCGACCCCATCCTCTATTCCAGCCACTAGGTGCTGCTGTACCTCTCTCAGTTATTAAGAAACTATGATAGCTTTTTAATACTTCAGCAAACTCAGTGCTGGAGAGAGCGTCCTCTGTGCCTCAGCTGATAGTGGTGGCACTCCCTGCTTGTACCACTCTCAAAGCAGCAAATATTCCCCTTGGCATCCAATGATGCTGTGTTGTGCCCTTCCTCTGCAAGGCGGTCCCGAGCTCAGTCCCAAGCACCCGAGCCTGGAGGAATTAAACTCGCACCCTCCCTCTCAGGGGGAAGAATCAACAGTATCTGAAAGATGTGGGCAGGGTTCCCCAAGCCAGATGAAACCTAAGCAGACGCTGACTGGGGACACTGTGAGAGAGACGGGGAAGCTCCCCCACAGCCCTTGGTGCCAGCACTGCCCCTGGAACACCAAGGGGACCCCTTCGGCACGTACCTGGCAGAGGAGCGCTGGGGCACACGCAGGCGTTAGCTAAACTGCAGTTAGCAGCCAGCACAACTGGGGAGCACAAGGCTCTTGGACTGGCTCGGCAAAGCACCTGATCTCATCCCTGCTTTGGTGGCCAGAGCCCTGCCGCCTGCCTTCACCTGCGCCGGGTGCCTGTGGCCGTGGGCAAAGTGCCTGGCTGAGAACCTAGCGGCAGCCCCGGGAGACTCGGTGCCGACCAGCAAAGCTTGCAAAGTCTACCCAAACTTTTTTTGCCCGTTGTCGCCAGCCCTTGCAGCTGTCCTGGTCTCCGGTGCACCCTGTACTCACCATGCTCGCCCACAACTGCAGAGATTGCCCATGTTGCTCCCTCCTTCATGAAGCAGCAGTGTTTTCTGGACAGGGAGAGCTTGTATTTCCTGGTTCCCTGCTCGGCCTCTGGCTATTCTAAGGGAGTGTCTGGCAGTGTCGGATTTCTCTCCATCACTGCGCCGCTTCTCCAGGCCCGAGCGTGCCATCTACCGGAGGGTTTGCCCAGGGCTCCCCGGCCCCCAGGCTCTGCGCTGCCTTCTGGCTGCCTGCAAGGAGGGGGCCAGGTAGCACCCAGGTAGCGCCATGCCTCCAGGCCTCAGCCCCGGGGTTAAAAAGCTGTTTTCTGATCTGCAATGTGACTCCGTCTCTGTTATCCCCCTCTCCTACCAGTGTCGTCCAGCTAATGCCAGCAGCGCTGTGGAAGAGGTTGGAGATTTCAGATGTCCCTGAATGAGAGGAGAAACTCCAGGGGAGGCCCTGGGGGCAAGGAGCTGTCAGTCCCGTTTATGCTCCAATTGCTGCTGCATCACTCATGGGATGCCAGAGAAATGTGTCGCTGGGGCTGGCGGCACCTTGGCACGTGAGCGAGTCTTGCTGGGAGGAGGCCATGCGCTGGCCCTGCAGGTCCGCGCTCGGCTGAGGTTAAGTGCTGCTGCACCTGTCCAGACAGAAGGTGCACATAACCTGAGGCACATTACTGTCCATCCAGGTTTTACAAAGTCCGGGTCTTTATCTAGACCAGAAAGTACAGATTTTTGCTTTTGAGACTCCCACGAGGGACATAACTCCATTAAGGACCTACAACGCTGCCCTTAGGCACAGTCCCTAGCCTGTCAGATAGGGACATTAATCTGTCTTTCACCTGCCTTTTGTAGCTCTTGCCGAGAGCCCTTCAGACAGCAGCTGTCAGCTCCTGGACTGCACAGCAAGGCCCTAATCTCCAGCAGCTGTACAAGAGCTGACACCCAACACCAGAAGATATCATGTTAATACAGCTGAAGCTGTGTGCTGCAGAGCCTTGATTCAGCCGTCAGTCCTCACGGGATGCGCTAGCAAGTGGGGAGGTTTTAATTCACCCTCCTGGCTAGCTGGATTGAACATGCATAGCTCTTGCCTCCTCCAGCTCTGCCGGTCCCAGGCTGCAGCTCACAGCACAACTAAGGGGCCAGCTTAGACCCTACTCTGAGCTGGGTTCACCATATGCTCTGTTATCTGCCCAAAGGCACTGTCATGGGATGGACCGTAGGACACAGATGTCCTCCAAATCCCAGATGAGCTAGCCCCAACTGGACCGTGTTCTCCAGCTCCTGCAAAAAACAGTTGGTCTCAGGAGCCTGTGTCCCCTTAGGAAGCACAGACTGCGTGTCTCAGAATTTGCCACAGACGCTGTTGGTTTAGTGAGCCAGTCTGTGTTTTGATTTCAGGGATAACTTGGGCTTTGTTGCTTTGTGGAAAGAGAGAAAAAAAAGAGACTGAGAGATGGTTCCCATCAGCCCGACACAAATGCTGGAGCTGCTGGTTTGAGCTCCATCAGAGAAACAGAAAGGCATCGAAAACATTGGCAGAGCTGAAAAACATTTGGCTGCCATTCTGCATTCCCTTGTCAGTCTGCGTCTGCAGGGATAAAAGCAAGCCTGGCTTCCAGCTCTCCCGCTTTACAAAGCGATCACGCTACTTTGTGCAAAGCCGGCAAGGGCCCTGTGCACAGCCCACTACAGCCCGCCCCGCTGTGCCAGCCCCCCTTGCTGCAGCACCCAGCCAAGCAGCTGCTTTAAGGCACCCAGAGACATCGTCTGGGTAACAGGCCCTGCAGCTGGCACTGTGCGAGCCGGCAGCAGCCCAGCAGGAGAGCAAAGACAGAGCTGAAGAAGCCTGTGGGAGAGGAGAGTAGTGACTATTAACTCGTATTGCAGTAGCAGCGAGGTACCTCGTACACCAAGAAAGGTGTATGGTGGGGTAGGTGTGGTACAGGCACATGGCAAGTGGGCATTTCAAAAAAAGGAGAGCTCTGAACCCCTTTGGCCACTTTTGCCTCTGAGGTCATTTGCCTCCAAATTGACTGTTTGCAGCCCCAGACCAGTCCATGCAGCCTTTTGCAGCCTCTAGCAGCTTAGTGACCTACAGTCCTTGTGCTGCACAGCCAGAGCAGGGCCAGATGCCATTGCATCCTCCCTGCCCAGGCTGAGGGCCTTGGCAGGGGCTGCTGTGCATGGGACGCATGCACATCGAATATGGCATGTGCAGGAGCAATTCCGGCTTTGACAAGCAGCCTCTTCAGGTCTTTGCAAGTCAATATCTCTGAGATTATTATTAACAACCCAGGCAAATCCTGCTGCACAGGTGGCTTTTATTTTGACAGCATCTTCTGACATACTCGCTGGCAGCAGCTTATCCAGTCCTGCTTCCCCAGGGAGGGCATCCTTCCGGGTACAGATGGTGGTGTGGGGGACAGAGGCTTTGCCTCACTCCCTCTCCCTCTCTCCTGCAACTGGCAAGGCCCTCAGGGCTGCGCTTAATTTCACTCCCATCGTCACTGCTGGCAGGGGCCCCAGGGAGCAGAAAATAGCTGCACAGCGGCTCGGTCTGCTCTGGGTCCTGCTGGTGAGAAAGCAGCTTTACCCTGGTGCTTGAGCCGCCTGGAGCTGGCTGCATGGGGCAGGTCCTGGGGCTGTTCAGGGTCCTATTTGCTCACTGGGACAACACTTAGGGCCAGCAGAGCCGCTTCCAGCAGGGCGAGAGCGATGGTCCCGCAAGCGCCGGGGCCAGGGAGCCTGCTCCCTCCCCAAAAAAGACCCCCATATTTGGTCAATGACACAGCAATTTAGCTGCTTTAATTGGCATCTAGGAGGAGAGTGGCAGGGATGGGCTGAGCCCTCCCAGCCAGCCGGGGCAGCAGCTGCAGCCAACCATCGCACACGCAATCCTTGGCCTGGTATCACAAGACCAGGGAGACATTCCTCCTGTGCCCCAAGCATCATGGCGCCTGCAACAGAGCTGCGTGCGCCCGCTCCACCACTCAACCCAGAGCGCCTGGGTGCCCGCAAGGGTCTCAGACACGCACTGTTGACTGCCAAGAGCCCCTAGCCCTCAGGCTTCCCTCCTGGAGGTTTCTGTCTGCCTGCAGAGTGAGTGACGCTGTCTGCGCTGGAGCAAGGAGGGATGGTGGCAGCGGTACCCCGGCTGCCCTCTGAGTCCCCCATGCCAAGCTCAGTGGGGATGCCCCAGCACTCTGCTCACCAAGGTGCATCTGTGCAGAGGAACTGTGCACTGCAGAGGAACTTGGCCAGTAGCAACATAAATCCAAGGCAAGAAGAGAGAAGGTTTGTCAGATTTATTCCTCTTTCATCCCAACAGCTGCAGCACTTTTACAGATCAGCCATTCCTTTCCATCTGCAACCCCCTCCGCAGCAGTCAGCCACTGGCTCATTAGTGAGGCACCAGGATCCTCCCTTCCCAGCACACCGGAAAAGCAGCTCCTTCCAGGCTGGAGCACAGTTGCAACCCTTGTAAGACGGGATGGGCCGGGAGCACCCTGCACCGTGCTCAGTAGGCACTCAGGAGACAACTTACATTACAGTTCCTCACACTAACACTTCAGACCCCCGCCTCAGTCCCCAGCCCCTTTTTCCATCTACGTGCCCCTCTGTGTTCTCACACTCTGCTAAGCACTGGTGGTGTGAAATAGGGGCCTGGCACCAGGATGTCCCCCCACCCCCTGCTCCAGCCCAGCTCTGGGGCCTTTAGGACTCCTCTTTCGCCTTCCCTTCCTCAGGCTGCACTTCCTTTGCCTCTGGCTGCTTCTGCTGGGTTATCTTCACCTCGTTGACTCTGGCCTGCACCTCCTTCCCGGTCCGGGGAGCCACGATGCTTAAGATGCCGTCGTGAGACAAGGTGGCTCTCACGAGCAAGGGGTCGACATCCAGCGGGAGGATGTAGGTCCTGGTGAACTCTCGTGAGATGAAGCCGTGGCGGTCAGACTTCTGTGGGTGCTGCCCCATCACCTCCAGCAGGTTGTCCACAGTGCGGACAGTGAGCTCGTCTGGCAAGAAGTGGCAGACGTCCAGGAACACCTGGAATTTGTGGTTGTTGAGGCTGATCTCGGAGGTACCTCGGTCCAGCTGCTTGTTGATCCGTGGCCGGATGTAGTAGCCATGATAGAGGGCAGGGGCTAAAATCTCACAGGGGGACACACCTGAAAAGGAGACGCAGTGAGGAGCATGGGCTTTCCAGGAGGAGGAGGAGGGCTGGCAGTGGAGCTGATGGGGCCTGGAGGAGGCTGGGATGTGGCAAGCGCATCCCTTGGTTTTGCTGCTGCACCAGCTACACCACAGGAACTGAGTTCCTGCCTCTGCATCTCCAAAACACACACTCGGAGCCACCACCATCCGGCCACCACCTCTCACTGCTGCCCGTTGGGCAAGAGGCACCGCTAGGTGCACGGAGTACTCTGCGGAGCCAGGCCTGGGGCTGGGCACAGGAAAACGCTGACGGTGAAGAAACTGTGGAGGAACTAAAGCCCTTTTGTGCAGCATTGTCCAGGGGGCTTTCCTTGGGGCTTTCGGCCTTTTCACGCTGCCTGCATTCTGAATGGTTCTGCTGCTGCCCACATTCCTCCCCTACTGCCAGCCCCTGCTGCCTTTGTGCTCAACACCCCAGCTCAGCTTTTCTCCACTGCCCCCGCTGCAAAAACTCCTCCCTGTGCTAGCACTTTCCAAGATGGCCTAATTCTTATCCCTGGCATCGCAGCAGGGACCCTGCTGCAGAGGGCAGTGGGGTACACTGCAGCTGGGCGGTGGGCAGGCGCGGGACCTGCTCAGCCATTCCTTATATTAGCAAACGGGAGCGTGGGGGCAGGTCCTGTGCAGGCTTGCGACCATCAGGCCTTCCTGCTGGGGTTAGCACAGGGCACAAGGGCTTCCCCCTTACCTTCCCCGAAGTTCTGGTCGTAGATCTTGCTGGGACTGGCAAACTCGTACTCCGAACTCATAGGGTAGGCATGGGGAACGGTCCGTGTGGTCATGGTGTGCCGGGGACGGGAACCTGCCGAGTGCTCACTGCTGCTGAGAGTGAAGGCTGCAGATTGCAAGGCTTTAACGGAGTGAATTCCGCAGGGAGGAGTGCGTGATAAAAAGACAGACCAAAATAGCCGCTTGCGCAGGCCCAGGGACAC